GAGACGGGGCCGCGCGGGCCGGCGGCCGGCCGGGTTCAGGTCTTTGAGCGGCCGCAGGGCGTCCTTTTCACCGTTCGCTCGCGCTACTTGGTCCGCTATCGGTCCCGGGGCGTATTTAGCCTTGGAAGGGCCGCGCCTCCCTTCGCGCTGCACGCTCAAGCAGCGCTACTCGCCGCGCAGGCCCGGCGGCCGCCGTACGGGGCTTGCACCCTCTCGGGCGGGGCCCTCGGGCCCCCTCGCGGCGGGCCTGCGCCTGCGCCCCACAGCGCGCCTTCGGGGCGGGCTCCTCCCGCGTCGCTCGCCGCTACGGGGAATCCCGGTTGGTTTCTCCTCCGGGGCGTACTGATATGCTTAAGTTCCGCCCGTCGCCCCCGCCGCCTCGGGCCGCGCAGCCCGGCGGGACCGCCCCGGGGCGCTCTCTGCGGCGCGGCGCGCGGCACGCGGCGGGCGCCGAGGCGGCGGCGCCGGGGCGCGCTGCGTTCGAGGGTCGGTGCTTCTCGGGCGGGCGGGTCCGCACCGCGTCTCGCGCTCCGCCGCGCTCTTCGTCGCCGCCCGGGCCGAGGCATCCGCCGGCGGGGCGTTCGGGGGCCGACCGGGCCGCGGGGGCGACGCGCGGGGCGCGCGAGGGATCCATCCGCAGGTTCACCTACGGATACCTTGTTACGACTTCTCCTTCCTCCAGGCGCGGGGGCTCGCGGCCCTTCGCGCGTCCGGGGCGCTCGCCGCCGCGCCCAGTCGGTAGGAGCGACGGGCGGTGTGTACAAGGGGCAGGGACGCGTCCGGCGCGCGGTGGGGGCGGGCGCCTACAAGACATTCCTGGTGCGCGGGGGCGTTCCAGCCCGCGGTCCCGGCCACGGCGGGGGCTCCGCGCGTCCTCGCGGGCGCCGGCTGGCCCCGCCAGTGTAGCGCGCGTGCGGCCCAGGGCGTCTGAGGGCATCACAGACCTGCTATCGCCCCGCCGTCCTCCCGCTCGCGCGGGCCGTCCCGCGGCGCCCGCGGCCGGGGTCTCGCTCGTTGTCGCAATGGAGCAGACGGCTCGCGCCACGGGCTGGGAGCGGCCATGCACCACCGCCCGCGCGATCGCGAAAGCGCGCCCGGCTGTCGGTCCTCCGCGCGTCCGGGCCTGGTGAGGTGCGCGCGTTGAGTCAGATTGAGCCGCAGACTCCACGTCTGGTGGTACCCCTCCGTCAATGCCTTCAAGTTTCAGCCTTGCGGCCATACTCCCCCCAGAGCCCGGAGCCTCCCGGTTTCCCTGGGCGGCCGGCGGGACGCGCGCGCCGGCCGCGGGGCGGCACCGTTTACGGCCGGGAATACGGTGGTGTCTGATCGCCTTCTAGCCCCCGGCCTTCGCCCTTGATTGACAGAGGCGGTCTTGGCAGGCGCCTGCGCGGCCGGCGGTCTCGGCGGGATCATCCTGTTTCACCCGTCCCCGGCCGGTACCGGTGCCCCCGCCCGCTCTCCTCGGGGCTGCCGCGGCGCGCCGCGCCCGCTGCGCGGTCCCACGCGGCGGGTCCAACGGGCCTGCCTGGAGCGCTCCCGTTTCCTCGTGGCGGCGGGGGGCCAACTACGGGCGTTTCAACTGCAGCAGCGCCGCGCGACGCTCGCCGAGCTGGAATTACCGCGGCTGCTGGCACCAGACCTTGCCCTCGGCTCCGCGGCGGGGGCTGTGGGCCCGCCTCGCTCGCGCGCTCCCCGTCGCTGCCTCGCGCGCCGCGCATTGGGCAAGTTCCGCGCCTGCTGCCGTCCTTGGATGTGCGGGCCGTCTCGCAGGCCCGCTCTCCGGAGTCGAACCCTGATTCTCCGCCAGGCGTCGGGCCCTCGGCGCGCCGCGACCGCGCCGACCGGGTGATGCCCCGGAAGCCCGGGCGGGCCGTCGCTGCGTCACGCTGCTCGCCCGCGGGCGCCCGCCCTTGCGCGCACGTCTTGGCGCCGGGTTGCCAGCGGTGTCCGGCTAGCAGGGACCGCCGCGGGGGGTGCAACCGTTGTCCTGAGCCGTCCGCCGCGTCCCGGGTGAGCGGGCATGCATGGCTTCGTCCTTGGGGAGAGCGTCGCGCTCCGGCAGGATCGACCGGATGGCCGGGCGCGGGCGCCGCGGGCCGGGCGCCTCCCTGCGCGGGGGCCGCCGCCTGGCACGGGGGCCGCCCCCTCCGTGCCCATGCCGTGTCGGGGGTCCCCCCTATAGTGCCGGGCGGAGGCCGCCCCCCACAGCCCGGCCCGGGTCCGCCTGCACCACACTTTTTTGGATTCCCTTGGGGCCCTCTGCCCCCCTCCAAAAAACCGGCCCTCGCGAGATAAAGCACCTTGTCCTATATAGTGCGTGACAGAAGCCGCCCCCACACACCCCCTGGAGTCCCCCTGCACCACATTTTTTTGAAATCCCTTGGGGGCGTCCGGGGGGCCGGGGGGCCGGTCCGCGGGGAGCGCCGGGGAGCCCGGGCGGACCCTGCAGGACTGCATATCACGGCAAACCCTCCTGTGCGGACCGCGTGTCCCGGGCTCCTCTGCCGGTCGGGAGATCCGCGCCCCTCGTTCTCCGTCCACCGTGCCCCGGGGAGGCCCTTGACTGCAAAACGATCGAATTGGAGGCTGATGTGCATCCGGGCGCTCTGGGGGCCCTCTCCGGGGAGACCGCCCGAAACGGCTTCTCGCGGGGATCTCAGCAGCCGTGGCTATATACGGTCCGTCTCTAACCTATATGATTGCTGGCAGCGGGAGGGCACTGCGTGGGGGGCGGCCCCCCGGAAGGGCGCGGTCCGAGGAGGGGCCCCCGACCGGCCCTGGACCGACTGGGGCAGCCCCGGGTGCTGTGCGTGCGCCTGGCTGCAGCGGGGCCACGGGGGCGCAGGAGGCCCCAGGAGAGACCGGAGTGTTTACTGGCCCGGGGGATCGGCTGCTCTGGGCCGTCCGGGGGTCCTTCCGCGCTCTCCCCGCGGTCCCCCGGTCTCCTGCACCGGGCCTCCCCAGCGCCCGTCCCCGCACGTGGGCGTGTCTCCCGGTCGTGCGTGGCCTGCTGGAGGCGCTGGGCCTCCCTGCCGCCCTCTCTGTCTGGATCCCCCGGGCCGCCTCCCCCGGGCCCCCTGCGGTCCTGCGCCGCCCCCCTGCGCACACGGGTGCTCCTCTGTGCAAGGCAGACCCGGTGGTGGGCGTGCACTGCCCCCTGGCCACCCCTTGGGGCACCCTGCACTCCCTCAATCTTCTCTTTCCGCGCTCTGCCTGTCTGTCTGCCCCGCACCCCCCCAGAGCAAGTGGGCCGCGCGCCCCGCCCCGCGCTCTGCAGGCGCGTCCCTCAGGCGATCGCAGGGCTCTGCGCCGTACAGGAGCGCCGCGCCGGGTGGTCTCCCCGGGCGGGGGCCGCTCGGCGACGGGGCACGGGGCTGGGGCGCGCGGCCGGGCGGGGCGCGAGGCGGGGTGCGCGCTTAGAGGCGGTCAGCGCAGGGCCCCCGGGCGCGGCGGCGCGGCGCTGCCCGGCCGGGCAACCGCGGGGCTGGCGGCCCGCGGCGGGCGTTCCTCTCGTACTGGCCCGCCGTGCTCTGGCCCCGGGGCCAGTAGGGTAAAACTAACCTGTCTCACGACGGTCTAAACCCAGCTCACGATCCCTTGAACGGGTGAACAATCCGACGCTTCCGCGCCGGTGCGCGCGGACGGTAGGAAGAGCCGACATCGAAGGATCAAAAAGCCGCGTCGCTGCGGGCGCTCGGCGGCCACAAGCCAGTTATCCCTGTGGTAACTTTTCTGCCACCTCCGCGCCCGCGGCCGGGGCGGCGAAGGATCGGTAGGCCCCGCTTTCGCGGCCCGCGCCGGCACGGGGGGCGCGGGTCGGGCGGGCTTGTGCCCTTCTGCTCCGCGGGAGGTCTCCGTCCTCGCTGAGCCCGCCGTGGGACGCCTGCGGTCCGGTGTAGCAGGCGCGCCGCCCCAGCCGAACTCCCCGCCCGGGCGGGTCCCCGCGCGACCGGGTGAGCGGGGCGGCGGCGGCCGTCAGGGTGTCTCAGGGGCGCGGCCTCCCCTGTGCGCTGCGCCGGCCGCCCCGCCCCACAGGCCCGGGCTGGAGTCAAGCTCAAAAGGGTCTTCTTGCCCCGCTGGCCGGCCCTCGCCCGTTCCCGAGGCTGGAGGCTCGCGGAGGCGCGGCTCGGGACAGTGGGATCCTCGTTGGTCCATTCATGCACGTCGGAAATTGCCCGACGAGGCATTTGGCTACCTTAAGAGAGTCATAGTTACTCCCGCCGTTTACCAGGGCTTCGGCGGATCGCTTCACGGTGACGGTCGTGGCACTGGGCAGAAATCACGTCGCGCCAGCGCCGGGTGCGGCCCTCGCGACGCTGTGTTTCTAGTAAACAGTCGGGATCCCCGCGTCCGTTCCAGTTCTGACCCGGCGCGCCGTCAGAGCCACTCCTTTTCCCGAGGTTACGGAGCCGGCTTGCCGACTTCCCTGAGCCGCGTTCGCTCCCGCGCTAGAGGCTGCTGACCCCGGAGTCCTGCTGCGTGGCGGGGCTGTGATGTGTAAGGTCTGATGTAGAGGCGATCGCTGTTTACTCTGGCTACTCTAAGAGAAGGGCCATCATCTCGTTACTGCCTCTTTGTTTGGCTATGCCCAAGAGCTGATTCCTGTTTATGTTCTTCTCCTTCTCTGCGAGGAATTGCATGCATTCTATCTGATTGTTGTACACTGCAAACATGAGGGCGGTTTCGCCACCACTAGTTTGCATCCCACCCTCCTTCTCCAGCAGAAGCTTAATGCACTCTGGGTGACCCTTCTCTGCTGCTATCATAAGGGCCGTCTTACCATTCCTATCTCTCATGCCCCCTTCTTTCTCTAGGAGTAGCTTAACACAGTCTTGCTTGCCATTTTGTGCTGCACACCTGAGGGCTGTCCATCCGTCACTATCCTTCATGCCCGCCTCCTTCTCCAGGAGTATTTCCACTATCTTTGTGTGGCCTTTCCCTGCTGCTGTCATGAGAGCTGTCCGGCCGTTGCTATTTTGCATCCCGCCTTCCTTCTCCACGAGCAGCTCCACTATCCTTGTGTGGCCGTGTGCTGCTGCCCTCATCAGTGCTGTTCCCTTACAGATGAACCAGCGGCCTATCTCGACATTCCCCGTCGCTTTCTGTCCCCCCTGGAGGGGAAGGAGGGCCTTCACAGTATCTACATCATTTCTGTCAACAGCTCGCATGAGGGCAGTGACGCCATTCTCATTTGTGGGGTCGAGGAGCTCTACTATGTTCCTGTGCCCTGCCCTTGCAGCTATGATCAGCGCCGTGTCTCCGTTATCGTTCCTCGTGTCCTTATCAAGAAAGTGCTTCCTCACGGTCTTAGTATCCCCAGTGAGAGCCGCGCGCATGAGTGGGGTCCATGAATGCGTCTCGTATCCCTGAAGGAGCAGAGCTATGTCTGTGTGCTTGTTCCTGAGGGCGTGCACGAAGGCCGTGTTACCGTCCTTGTCCTTCATCCCCTTCTCGTGCTCAAGGAGGAGCTTTACCACTTCAAGGCTCCCCTTCTCCGCGGCGATCATCAGAGCGGTCCAGCCGGTTTTGTCCCTGAGGCCCTTTTCCTTCTTAACAAGCAGCTCAACAGGCCCACCGTGCCCCTGCTGGGCCGCGTGCATGAGGGCCGTCATCTTCTGCTTGTCACGCTGGCCGGTGCGGACTCCCTCTTCAAGTAGCACCCGGACAGTCTCTGTGTCATTCGTGTGCGCAGCACGGATCAGTCTGGGTAGCAGGTGAGCCTCAGGTTGAAGGGTAATCGTAGCTACTGCACCACTGAGTTGCATAACCTGACCTTCTCGTGCTTGCATTGTGGATAAGTATTTTTTGTCCGGCCTTCAAGAGCGTCAATCCCAGGGGTCTTAAGTCGGGGCTCCTGTCCTAGGGAGCTGGTCTTGCTTGGCCTGTTCTCGAGGGCTGCCTCGCGAATAGCAATCCTAGCATTAGCATTATTCAGGGCAGTCTTCAAGGAGCTGCATTCGTACTTCAGCACCGCGTATTGAGCCCCCAGCTCACCAACTGGGATGTCGAATGTAGCGAACGTCTTGTGCAGCTCCCTGGCCGTCGGCCTCTTCACTGGATCCAGCACGAAGATCCTCTCCAGAACACTCTTTATGAAGCCATCAGTGACACCGCTCAGGTCCGGCCTCCACCCGTCGACGAAGACCTCTGCCGGCTCCTTGCCCCCCAAGAAGTCCGGCCTCTTCAGAGTTACTAGTTCATAAATGATGACCCCGAGGCTCCACACATCGGAGGCGGGGCTGGCCTCGTTGTGGAGGAGCATCTCAGGGGCCATGTATACTGCCGTGCCTGCAATGGTGCTCCCGCATCTCAGGGCGTCCTTGCAGAGGCCGAAGTCGGCGATGATGAAGTGTTCATCATCTGCGCTGACGAGAATGCTTGCAGGCCTGAGGTCGCGGTGGACGAGGCCCTGGTAGGGGCGACCGTCGGCACCCACTCCGCTGACGCCGTGGAGGTAGGCGAGGGCGGCGGCGAGCTGCCTCAGAACGGAGAGGACCAGCTCGGGAGAGACGGGGGTCTTCCTCCGCTTGCAGTCGATAAACACTTGCTCGAGTGTCTTGTCGTGGCGATTCATGACGATGTAAATGAAGCCCTCGTCCTCAACCACTTGATGATACTTGAGGATCCCCGGGTGGGAGAGGTCGGGGAGGGTGGCCAGCTCAAGCCTGATGGCATCCACGTTGCCCTTACCCAGGCCGTCGAGGAGAATCTCCTTCACGGCGAGACTCGGATAGCCCCTGAGGGCGTAGACTACGCCTGTAACCCCTCTGCCCAGCACGCCATCCAGCAACTTGTGGAGCTCCTCAACGACGAATTGTGGGATGACGGGGGCTGCTGCAGGGGGGCTGGCTGTGTAATCATCGCCGTCGGCCATGACAGTTTATTCTCAAAAATAAGATCGGGCAATTAGATTGAACGAGTGATTGGGCCGCACCCTCAGAGGCTACAAGAGAGCGCAGGCCCCTGCCAGCCTCGCTTCTCGAATCTGTGTTCATGACAGCAGACACGTCGTCCCGTACACTGTGGAGCGCCCTTGCATGTCATGGCACCCTGTCTGTCCTGGCCACTCGTGACCATCACGCATTACTAGTACTCTGCGCCAGCTCCCTCGACTGTGCAGTCATGGCTATTCCACATGTGCACAGGCCATCTAGCAGCACTCGCCCGCGTTCTCTGCTCCTCCTCCGCCATTCATCCACGCGGGCCATGCAGGGTCTAGTGCCCCTCCAGCGCTGGCCACATTGGTGCTCTCTTCTGAGGCTGCATGCCCTAAAGGATCGCCTGTGCTCACTGCATTTTTAGAGCCCATCGCACACCGGGGGCTCCCTCGCAATCGGTGCCCAGAAAGTCACGGGCAGGACTCTTCGGTACGTTTACTACCGAGACACCTTACTCCTGCAGAGGAAGCCGACGAATACCCCACAGCAATGTACAGGAGTGCACCCCGAACAATCATTCCACAAGAGAGGTGCGATCTGAGTCTGGCCCTCACTGGTCCTGTTCCTATCGAAGTCAAGGGGAACTGCACTATCAACTAGCCTCCGATGGGTGTGCTCCTATCTCGTCCTCCTCCAGTCCAACTGATCAAGAGAGCAAGAGCGGTTGCCTCTCACTGCTCGCGGCAACACATCAGCCTGATGAAAAAGCAGTAGCACACGAACTCCGGCTAATGTTGGTAGGATTTCTCCTAGTTTGTGCAACCGTGCTGGCAAAGGACAGCGGGAAGGACACATGCTTCCCGGGCTACACCCTCAACACTGACACGAAGCAGTGCACCAAGGACCCAGAAGCGCCGTGCAACGTCGAGGGCTGTGAGACCTGCGTGGAGGGCAACGCCCAGCAGTGCAAGACGTGCCGTCCGGGCTACACCATCAACACTGACACGAAGCAGTGCACCAAGGACCCAGAAGCGCCGTGCAACGTCGAGGGCTGTGAGACCTGCGTGGAGGGCAACGCCCAGCAGTGCAAGACGTGCCGTCCGGGCTACACCATCAACACTGACACGAAGCAGTGCACCAAGGACCCAGAAGCGCCGTGCAACGTCGAGGGCTGTGAGACCTGCGTGGAGGGCAACGCCCAGCAGTGCAAGACGTGCCGTCCGGGCTACACCATCAACACTGACACGAAGCAGTGCACCAAGGACCCAGAAGCGCCGTGCAACGTCGAGGGCTGTGAGACCTGCGTGGAGGGCAACGCCCAGCAGTGCAAGACGTGCCGTCCGGGCTACACCATCAACACTGACACGAAGCAGTGCACCAAGGACCCAGAAGCGCCGTGCAACGTCGAGGGCTGTGAGACCTGCGTGGAGGGCAACGCCCAGCAGTGCAAGACGTGCCGTCCGGGCTACACCATCAACACTGACACGAAGCAGTGCACCAAGGACCCAGAAGCGCCGTGCAACGTCGAGGGCTGTGAGACCTGCGTGGAGGGCAACGCCCAGCAGTGCAAGACGTGCCGTCCGGGCTACACCATCAACACTGACACGAAGCAGTGCACCAAGGACCCAGAAGCGCCGTGCAACGTCGAGGGCTGTGAGACCTGCGTGGAGGGCAACGCCCAGCAGTGCAAGACGTGCCGTCCGGGCTACACCATCAACACTGACACGAAGCAGTGCACCAAGGACCCAGAAGCGCCGTGCAACGTCGAGGGCTGTGAGACCTGCGTGGAGGGCAACGCCCAGCAGTGCAAGACGTGCCGTCCGGGCTACACCATCAACACTGACACGAAGCAGTGCACCAAGGACCCAGAAGCGCCGTGCAACGTCGAGGGCTGTGAGACCTGCGTGGAGGGCAACGCCCAGCAGTGCAAGACGTGCCGTCCGGGCTACACCATCAACACTGACACGAAGCAGTGCACCAAGGACCCAGAAGCGCCGTGCAACGTCGAGGGCTGTGAGACCTGCGTGGAGGGCAACGCCCAGCAGTGCAAGACGTGCCGTCCGGGCTACACCATCAACACTGACACGAAGCAGTGCACCAAGGACCCAGAAGCGCCGTGCAACGTCGAGGGCTGTGAGACCTGCGTGGAGGGCAACGCCCAGCAGTGCAAGACGTGCCGTCCGGGCTACACCATCAACACTGACACGAAGCAGTGCACCAAGGACCCAGAAGCGCCGTGCAACGTCGAGGGCTGTGAGACCTGCGTGGAGGGCAACGCCCAGCAGTGCAAGACGTGCCGTCCGGGCTACACCATCAACACTGACACGAAGCAGTGCACCAAGGACCCAGAAGCGCCGTGCAACGTCGAGGGCTGTGAGACCTGCGTGGAGGGCAACGCCCAGCAGTGCAAGACGTGCCGTCCGGGCTACACCATCAACACTGACACGAAGCAGTGCACCAAGGACCCAGAAGCGCCGTGCAACGTCGAGGGCTGTGAGACCTGCGTGGAGGGCAACGCCCAGCAGTGCAAGACGTGCCGTCCGGGCTACACCATCAACACTGACACGAAGCAGTGCACCAAGGACCCAGAAGCGCCGTGCAACGTCGAGGGCTGTGAGACCTGCGTGGAGGGCAACGCCCAGCAGTGCAAGACGTGCCGTCCGGGCTACACCATCAACACTGACACGAAGCAGTGCACCAAGGACCCAGAAGCGCCGTGCAACGTCGAGGGCTGTGAGACCTGCGTGGAGGGCAACGCCCAGCAGTGCAAGACGTGCCGTCCGGGCTACACCATCAACACTGACACGAAGCAGTGCACCAAGGACCCAGAAGCGCCGTGCAACGTCGAGGGCTGTGAGACCTGCGTGGAGGGCAACGCCCAGCAGTGCAAGACGTGCCGTCCGGGCTACACCATCAACACTGACACGAAGCAGTGCACCAAGGACCCAGAAGCGCCGTGCAACGTCGAGGGCTGTGAGACCTGCGTGGAGGGCAACGCCCAGCAGTGCAAGACGTGCCGTCCGGGCTACACCATCAACACTGACACGAAGCAGTGCACCAAGGACCCAGAAGCGCCGTGCAACGTCGAGGGCTGTGAGACCTGCGTGGAGGGCAACGCCCAGCAGTGCAAGACGTGCCGTCCGGGCTACACCATCAACACTGACACGAAGCAGTGCACCAAGGACCCAGAAGCGCCGTGCAACGTCGAGGGCTGTGAGACCTGCGTGGAGGGCAACGCCCAGCAGTGCAAGACGTGCCGTCCGGGCTACACCATCAACACTGACACGAAGCAGTGCACCAAGGACCCAGAAGCGCCGTGCAACGTCGAGGGCTGTGAGACCTGCGTGGAGGGCAACGCCCAGCAGTGCAAGACGTGCCGTCCGGGCTACACCATCAACACTGACACGAAGCAGTGCACCAAGGACCCAGAAGCGCCGTGCAACGTCGAGGGCTGTGAGACCTGCGTGGAGGGCAACGCCCAGCAGTGCAAGACGTGCCGTCCGGGCTACACCATCAACACTGACACGAAGCAGTGCACCAAGGACCCAGAAGCGCCGTGCAACGTCGAGGGCTGTGAGACCTGCGTGGAGGGCAACGCCCAGCAGTGCAAGACGTGCCGTCCGGGCTACACCATCAACACTGACACGAAGCAGTGCACCAAGGACCCAGAAGCGCCGTGCAACGTCGAGGGCTGTGAGACCTGCGTGGAGGGCAACGCCCAGCAGTGCAAGACGTGCCGTCCGGGCTACACCATCAACACTGACACGAAGCAGTGCACCAAGGACCCAGAAGCGCCGTGCAACGTCGAGGGCTGTGAGACCTGCGTGGAGGGCAACGCCCAGCAGTGCAAGACGTGCCGTCCGGGCTACACCATCAACACTGACACGAAGCAGTGCACCAAGGACCCAGAAGCGCCGTGCAACGTCGAGGGCTGTGAGACCTGCGTGGAGGGCAACGCCCAGCAGTGCAAGACGTGCCGTCCGGGCTACACCCTCAACACTGACACGAAGCAGTGCACCAAGGACCCAGAAGCGCCGTGCAACGTCGAGGGCTGTGAGACCTGCGTGGAGGGCAACGCCCAGCAGTGCAAGACGTGCCGTCCGGGCTACACCATCAACACTGACACGAAGCAGTGCACCAAGGACCCAGAAGCGCCGTGCAACGTCGAGGGCTGTGAGACCTGCGTGGAGGGCAACGCCCAGCAGTGCAAGACGTGCCGTCCGGGCTACACCATCAACACTGACACGAAGCAGTGCACCAAGGACCCAGAAGCGCCGTGCAATACTCCCAACTGTAAGACCTGTGACAACCCCAAAACAGACAGTGAAATCTGCACTGAATGTAATGACGGCAACTACCTCACCCCTACAAACCAATGCGTACCTGACTGCACGACCATCAGCGGATACTACGGAGATACTGACAAGAAGTGTAAGGCATGCAACCCTGAGTGCGCTGAGTGCGTTGGGCCGGCCAACAATCAGTGTAGTTCCTGTCCTGCTGGCAAGAAACTGACATATACAGATGACAGCAATCCTAATAACGGAGGCACCTGCGGGGATGCGTGCAAGGTGTCTGCAGATGGCACTGGCTGTGAGACATGCGGGGCCCAAATAGGAGGAACTGCATACTGCTCAAAGTGCAAGACCTCCACTCAGGCCCCCTTGAACGGCGACTGTGCGGCCAGTTCACGAGCAACTTTCTGTACTAAAATGGGTAATGGGGTGTGCACTCAATGTGAAGATAACTACTTCCTCAAGGACGGCGGTTGCTATCAGACAGATAGACAGCCCGGCAAGCAAGTGTGTAGTAGTGCACAGGGAGGCAATGGTAAGTGTCAGACATGTGCCAATGGCTTAGCAGCAACTGATGGCAACTGTGCAGAATGTCATCCTACTTGTGCTACGTGCTCGACTGCAGGTGCGGCTGATAAGTGTAAGACCTGTGCCACTGGGTATTACAAGGAAAACGGTGACGATACCACTGATGGCCCGTGCAAGAAGTGCTCAGAGAAGATCTCTGGATGCAAGCAATGTGTGTCATCATCTGGCAGTTCAGTCATATGTTTAGAATCAGAAGTAGGCACTGGTGGAAGCGTCAACAAGAGCGGCCTTTCTACTGGCGCCATCGCAGGCATCGCTGTGGCTGTCATCGTTGTTGTGGGGGGCCTCGTAGGCTTCCTTTGCTGGTGGTTCCTGTGCAGAGGAAAAGCATAGATACTTAGGTAGTAAACGCATCCACTACGTGTGGCCTGTGATACTCAGCTCACCGCGCAGGGAAACAGAAAGTCCACGAGTAGGCACGGGACCACCCACGTGCTTGCAGCCTCTCTGCTGGCCCCTCTTCCGGTGTCTCTACATCCTCAGAGAGCTGGGCCTTGTGCCTTCCCTGCGCGGATCGACCCCTTGTGGACCTCCGTCTGCCAGTGCTCTCTCTGTCCCTGTGGCATCCTCCTAGACAACACCTGCTGGCCCGGCTACCCGGCAGATAGCACCCGAAAGTGGATCCTCGCAGTCCCTGGAGGAGATACCGGGTCCATAGAAGATGTGGATCAGCAGAGACTGGCTCATGAGACGCTCTCTCCTGGTGTGTGCATAGCCCTGATCTCTCGTACCAAGTACCACTAAGGTTCTTCACTGCATGACAGAGTGCTAAGTAGGACTCAGAGACGGGTCGGCCCTCCCGTGCCTAGTCAAGGGGGAGCACTGCCCAGACCGTGCTGTCTCCCGAGCTGATGGAGAGGACCCCACCACTCCTTGAGTCACTCTGGTGCCACCGCTCTATCATCGGAAACACCCGGGCCCGCGGTACCTTGGCCTGTTGGTGTGAGTGACAAAGGGCTCTCTGTGTCAGGCTGCCTTCATGAGGGACGAGATCCAGGGAGACTGCGCTGGTGTGGCAGCCAGTGACCAGGGCAATGATCAGCGTGGCCTCGTGTGGGTACCAGGGTAGCTGGGCGCCCATCCGCTGATGAGGGAGTCGAATAACATCTAATCGCTGCCTTCGGGCCAACTGGTGCGAGCGTCCTACCCTTGATTCGTGCATCATGTCACCTGGTAGAGGGTGTGGTATGGCTCTATACACCTCTCTGTGATGCCGCTGCGAGAAGTGGGCTCCGGTGTGTGGCTCAGAGGCCAGATAGTCTCCGAAGACGCCATATCCTTGCGATCTCCGTCTGGCCCCGCCAGAAGGGCTCGATGTTCGCAGGCCAGTGTGGGAAGCGAAGGTCCAGCAGCACGCACCTTGAGGGGAGTGCCGCAGACATGCATCGGGCACGATCCTGCCAATGATCCTGCAGGAGGCCGGCCTGGGCCTCAGTGGCTGGCGAATCCCAATGGGAAAGCGGCTGCTGTGAAGGACATCTGCCAATGCTCATTGCTGCGGGCTGGACGATCCCTACCCGCCTGTAGGGCTCATTCGGTGCGCAATGTAGCCCATCGATGAGAGTGATGTCGCTCATCTGGACTGAGTGGGCGGACCCTACAGTCGACCGGTTATTCTAAGAAAGTCTGCACCGGTGGGGCTGCAATTACGGCCTGCATTCGACAGGTAAGGGTTCCATTGGGCTGCGGTGTTCCCCACAGGTCCCGGGATGTGTGGCTACCTCAATGCGACCTCCAAGAGGGTAGCTCTGCCTGGCTGAGGCATGCAGGCCCGATCACAGTACAGCGCCCTTCTGAGTCTCTGGAGCTAAGCACACCTCAGACAACGAGGACAGATGGAGACCCAGAGGCGCTAGCTGGGCTGCTCCGATCCCTGCTGTCCGGGGAATCAGCAGGGCCGCAGGATGGCAGGGTCCCACTTCATGCCCCAGGAGGCCGTGGCTTGGCGGAGGTACGCCCCACGGTCACTGTTAGCTACCCGCCAGCGAGGTACTGCTGTGCTTGAAGGCATCCTGGAACGACCCTTCTCGGCTTACTGGCCATGAGCTGGGTCCTCGTGCCAGCCGATTGGATGAGAAGCAACAATAGCATTACCCAGGCCAGAAGCCGGGAAGGCTGCCGTTGATTGCGCATCTCCTATGTCAAGCACACTCACTGCGTAGGGCAAAGAACCCGACGCTCTAGGTGGCCTATTGGGGCCAGAGTGCTTGGCAGTAACGATATGCGCGTGGACTCCAGCGGCGGGGAGAGCCAGACGGGGCTTGCGAGGGAGTGGTGAGGAGCACAAGACCTGATGGATTATGCAAGGCGCACAGAGGACCCCCATGCAGTAACCGATTGACCCTGTTCCTTGGTAGACGGGACGGCCTGTGGTGGCCGCCTGCACGATGCATTCCTTTACGGGACCGTAGAGGCATCCGCATGCTGACCTGGAAAGGCCATCAGCAGTGGTTGCACGAGGCAGGCAAGTAGAGAACAAGGGCGAGCCATGCTACCCTGGGTGATGCGTAATCCAACCTACGCAATGCATATACCAACCCTTTGGTCGAAGATGGAGGTAGCCATCCGCGTAGCACTGCAGATCTGGCCGTGTCGACTGATACTGGCCTGCACAGTATACCTCTACAATCCAATCGATCCCCGCCCGTATACGGGGAAAGCGAACGTCCTCGCCTCTCGATAGAACAGCCCTCAATAAATGTGCTGCTGTAAATGCATAAAATCAAAATGCGGTCTTCGGCCTGTCGGTAGATAGACCCTTCCACACTCGCGGGCCAGAGAGGCACACAGGTGCCCCCGCTGCAATCCAGACCGGCAGCCAGCCTCTCCAGTCCCAGTCGCACCTCACTGATCTGCTGGTCACCCCTACGCTCTCCATGCGAATCGGTCCTCCAGAAATGGCCGTCTACAGGTGGCCCTCTGCACGTCTACCTAGCATTCTCCCTCACCGAAGCATGTCGCCAGGGACTAGGTGTTATGGGGTGGGCGCGGCCAGAGACGAGCTTTCTCGCAGGCCCGTCTGCCACTAGCGGTGAGCATCCAAACATGTGCACAGGCCTTTGGCGGGTGCATTGTGATCTAGGCCGGTCAGCGTACTAGGCTTGTGACACTTGGTGCACGGATTTCTGTTTTTAGCTTTAGGTGCAGACGTCTCATCTTGAAAGGCAATGGAGCGCTCTGCAGGACCTTCCGGGTATATAGTTATCGCTACAGCTGATGGAGAAGCAGGCATAATGACTGTGTGGATACGTAGAAGCGTCTCTGGTGCCATTCTTCACCGATAACGGATAGCTCAGGCAGTACGGTGTCCGCTCTACCATTGGACGTCATGCGGCATGCAACGTCAGAGGGGTCGATGCAGTGCCTGCTTAATCTGTTGGGCCGGTACAGCTCCATTGTAGCAAGTGCAGTGGTGGAGGCAGCCACCGGCGCAGGGCAGTGGGGCGTGTTGCTCGGTGCAGCGCTCTGTAGTTGGACACATCGGTCCCCTGAAACGAGCATAGCACGCTGCCTGCACATGCAATTGCCTTTTCATACTGCTTACTCCCATGAGCAGTTGCGATACATCGCATGCCAGAGAGCGGCGTAGAGGGTCCTCAGACTATTGGACCAGTAGACCGAACTGACAAGGGCAGCTGGCCATGCGTGCAGAAGCCCTGTCCTGAGGGCGGCGGGTGCAACGGCTGCCTCAAGTTTTTTAGTATCCAGACACAGGCTAATCACGTGCATATTGAGGCATCCTTCTGGCTGACCTGGCTATGGCTGCACAGACGATGCAGAGCAATAACCCGGTCACCACCTCAGTTCCCTGTCTGTTCTGAGCTCCAAGTCACGACCAACCAGCGAAGAATGATCTTCTTCGCCCTACATAGAGCTCTCCTAGACAGATATGCTCCCAGGTGTGGCTAGCCAACACTAGAGGCTACTCGTAGCCGGCGTGCCTCAACACTTGCCCAGTCTCACTTACATCTGCATTCACTTTAGGAACCAGAGGATGCTGGGTCAAACATGTGTTCACAAGGGGCACATACGATGACGGAGGGACGTAGCCATCTCCTGAACTTCCCTAGCTTAGTTGGACAACGTGCCATTCAGAATGCACGATGGAGCTCACTGGTAGATGCATCGTCACAGCTTCGATGTCTTAGAATGCTTGATTGGCCGACAGTGATAACGCTCCTCTTCTGCCATATAATCTGCCGCTTCCTGTCTAAGGGTATTGATCACTAACTATGTATAGCACTTTTCTTGGTTGCCATTATAGGTGTACCTCTTGATACTTGGGTTACCTGTTCTTCGCTGCACTGTTCTATTATCCCCTGCGGCAGGAGCTATATCGAAATCCTTGGTCGGCATATCTTGGGATCACCTCCCGCGCTCATATCGTCGTAGAGCACTGGTCCCCAGACCTCCGTAGCCATTGTGGGAGCCACACTATATGACCAAATCTGGGGCTTACTTCGCTCGGGATACCTTGTCTGCCGACGTGCCCTCTGGCTTGCCGACGCCTGTGGATGGAGACGCGTCGCTGCAGCCACACAGTTATTTACGCATCTTAGAAGCGCCCGTACTGGACAGCATAGGGTTTTGCTTATTTAGTACAGCTCCGTGATGCAGAGGACTCTAGAAAGGGTCCTGGGCACCCAGTCCAGTCCGGAGGGGAGGCATGCCGCGGAGTTATCCATTTCTCATTGAGGTCTAAAACGTCAGCGGACCACGGGAGGTCTCTCGCCACAGCAGCCGGCTGGCATTCTGTCACCTTATTACGGATATGAAGGCTGCCCACATGAGTCAACGCCGAAGCAAGACGTCTGGTCTGACAGAACTGCGGGGCAGAGCAGGTGGCAGAGCTGATATATCGAAAGATTTACTCTCCGTTTCACTGGGGCGGGACTGTCGCCTGCTATCTGAGTGGTCTCTCATGCGAACCACCGCCACCCTGGGCAAGCGGGTCTCTCTCATCCATGCATTGGCCAAGATCAAAACCCAGAGTTCGAAAGTGAGTGTCAAGCGACTTCGGCGGGAGAAGAACTCTTGTTCTGCCCTCTTCCCAAGAACGAGACAGGACAACCACGATCAGGGGACGATCATGATGCGCTCCACAAGACAATCCTGAGCCGCCTGGAGACCCAGACACTAGCCTTCCCCGAGACAGAGCAGACTGCGTTCCACCGACTGCACATGGTAGCGTTCGCATAGTACAGGGAGACGTAGGCTGATGGGCACAACAGTGTTGCTCGACATAGCGAACATTCCAACAGTAGACGGCCTCTGCCAGGCGAGTGTGCCCCGTCCCGAGGAGCTGCGTCGAGGCCTTCCCCTGGCTGCGACACGCGAGGTATCTGGACTCGGTCCCTCAGGGCCCTGAGCATGCTTCTGTGCTGCGTGGTACAGAACCTGCTCGCCAGGAGCTGAGGAGATACCCCGCTCAGTGCCTTGCCGACGACACACTCAGCTTCCATAGTGACGACAGACCTGGCGAAGCGACTGGCTCGACGGTCACCACCGGGTGTAGGAGCACAGAGGAGCAGGAGGCCTTCTTCCTGGCTGGTCTCGAAGGACCCCTCAAGGCAGCAGAGAACCTGAAGCCAGTGATGGCACTAATCACTCGCCGTGCTGCTTGAGACGGACCCACACGTGACCCATGTGAATCCCTCGACAAGAAATAGGACTTGGGGTGCTTGGCTGACAGAGGCGGACTGATCCTGCCCGCACCGAAGAGCGGTGGTCTGGGCCACCTGCCGGGTGTCTGCCACAGCAGCTGGCAGTGCCTGACACCCCCGAGTAGATGGGTGCCGGTGTAGAGCGAGACGGCCTAACGGCGAACCGGTTCTGATCGCTCCTGGTGCTTTGGATGACGCCTCGACAGACCGAAGCATCACCCCAAGCACACCATGTGATGCGAGGATGGATGGAGCCCACACGTCACTGAGCCAGACACACTGCACAGGGTGAGCGTCGACATGATCTCGTGCTGGGTGACGGAGCACCTGCAAGAGCGCACTGCGATCCATGAGCAGAGGGGTGGGCCTCTCCCCCGACACAACGCATGGGAGTACTCCATCGGCATCCACGAACGCGTACTACAACTCCGAGATAGAGGTGCATGGGGAGCGCACCCTTGATAATGGAACAGATAGTGCCCTCCATGAGGAGACGAAGAGGCACCCCGAGGAACGGGGTGGATACCCGGGGTCGTGGGGCGCGATCTTCGTCACGGAACACCAGGGCCACGTGGAGGCCAGATCGCCGCAGATGATACAAAGCCCGAGACAGCAGGTGCCCACCTAGGCGTCAGACAGTAGATTGCCAAGGGAAGGGAGGAACCCTCAGAAAGCACTGCGAGGAACAGCACCGGCTTTCAAGGGAGAGGGAACATAAGGCCTTCTCCCACCAGAATTCGAGGGCATTCGATCTCAAATTCTAGATCTGGATCTCGACTGGTGAGTGAGTGAGTGAGAGGTTTGCCAGCCCAGTGCGGTGATAGCTTGCACGAGGGAATTTACTCGGGCAGCGTCCTCGTTAATACGTACTCCAATACGACGAAGGATAACCGACAGACAAACAAGGACGTGGTCTCGACGCTGGCGAGTCTATTCATAAGCGATAAGATACGGTTCCCCTGTCTGTTTCCATCTGCAACGCGGGTAGATCTGAGCGATTCTAGAAGAGGGTATGAGAGCAGCATAGAGCCAAAGGAGTACCAGCTAGCCGTCGAAATCATGTAGCACTGCATCGAGAGAGCCATTCAAAGGACAATGCGGATAACGAGTTTGATTTCTCTGAGAGTGAGATGGCTCTCCTCGAAGTAGAGTAAAGGTCAAAAGCTAAAGCGAAACAGCTACTGTGCATACGTAGATAGAATGGGTAGCATCTCTTCTCTCCCAGAACTTCTTGCCAAATCCAACGCAGTTTGGCCAGCGTTATTTGAAAGATGCCACTCGTGGACCGCTAGTATCTCAACAACATCTTGGCATCCCTCTGCTACTGCTACCATCAGAGCCGTGTTTCCATCTGCATCCTGAAGGCACTTTTCGTACTCTACAAGAACCTGTACAACGTCTGGGTATCCGCCCTTAGCGGCCTCCATAAGGGCTGTCTGGCCATTGCTACTTTGGATCCCGTGTTCTATGTTTGCAAGTATACGTGCAGATTCCAGGCTGCCATTTCTTCCTGCAAGCATGAGAGCAGTGCATCCGTCTATGTCCACGTGTTTTGCTTCGTCATCTATCAAAGGCACCAAAACCTCGGGCCAGTCGTTTTCGGCAGCAATCATCAACGCAGTACGGCCTCTTTTGTCTGTTCTTCCTACCTGATCGAGGTGTTGATTCACAAGTCCTAAGTCTCCTATGGCTGCCCCGATCATCAACTCGGTCCAGCTCTCGCTGGCTTGCAGCTCCTCTGGGCAGGTCATGAGGAGCCTTGTAGCTTCAGCATGAGAATTATTCGCGGCTAGCATAAGAGCTGTCCATCCATCTTTCTTCTGCATTCCTTTTTCATGCGGAAGAAGCAACTTTAACGGCTCAACGTGCCCCTGAACGGCAGCACACATCAGGGCTGTCCAGCCATCCTCGTCCTGCATTGCTTCCTCGTACTTCAGAAGAATATTCACGATCTCTGGATAGTTGGTCCACGCAGCAGTCATGGTGGCCGTCCGAGCACTGCTATCTGTTAGCGCTCTCTCTGAATCGAGGAGGATTGTGGCGACCTCATAGCTCCCATTCTGAGCAGCGAGCATCAGCGCAGTTCGACCAGAAGACGTCCGTATGCACCTTTCTTTACCTACCAAAATCGCCGCTGCCTCGGCATTATTGATGCACGCAGCAACCATGAGCGCAGTCCATCCATCAATGTCCTGAACCCCATGCTCACGCTCTGCAAGTATTTTAACAGAAGCTGTATGTCCGTTGGCGACGGCTCCCATAAGCGCAGTTCGATAACATAGTGTTTGACCGCCCAGCGCCTCCTCCCCGACAGTCTGCAGTTTCCCTTGATAAGGTATAAGGAGGGAAACCATGTCTGTGTCTCCTCTATCTGCAGCGCGCATCAGTGCTGTTCGGCCCAACTCATCTGTTGGGCGTTCAATCGGCAGCAGGATTCTAATTGCGTCAGAATATCCCGATTGAAGAGCATACTCTAAAGCGGTGTGATTACCATTGTCTGGAATTAGGCCCTCAGATTTTGCAAGTATTTGTACTGCGTCTGTATTCTTCTTATCGATTGCATACAATAACGCTGTCCATCCCTCTTTGCTTTTAAGCCCGGACTCGTGATCGTGGAGAACTTCTACTATGTCTGTGTAATTATTCCAAACAGCATACATCATGGAGGAAAGCCCATTATTGTCCTGGATTCCCTTCTCCTGCCCAACTAAAAGCCGGACCGCTTCCGTATGTCCGTTTTCAGCTGCCCGCATAAGGGCGCTGCGTCCGTCTTTGTTGACGGCCCGCTTCTCGGTGTCCATAAGGATCTGCACTACGTCCGAATGACCATTATAGGCTGCATACATAAGAGCAGTCCAGCCATCGGCAGAGCTCATTCCCCCCTCATACGGTAAGAGCAAGGCCACGATTTCTGAATGACCGCTCCATGCAGAATACATGAGCGCGGTGAGGCCATGCTTATCATGGATTTTCGCCTCGAGCTGTAAGAGAAGCCTGATAAGCTTTTTGTATCCCTTTTCTGCAGCTCGCATAAGAGCCGTCCACCCATTGGAGTTCTGCAAGGCTTTTTCAGTGTTAAGAAGCAATTGTGCTATATCCACTTGGTTGCTTTCAGCTGCATACATCAGGGCCGACCAGCCTTCCTCGGTCTGAATACCATGCTCTTTCTCGACAAGGATCCGGGCAGCTTCAGTGTGTCCATTGCACGTTGCTAACATCAGGGCTGTCAAGCCATCTTTTTCTTTCATCCCGCCCTCATAGTCCAGAAGAGCTCGTACAGCTTCTAGATGGCCATTGACTGCGGCTCCCATGAGGGCTGTTCGATTTTGAACAGCGTATCCGGCAAGAGTTTCACCCAAGGATGTTTGTTTCCTGGACTGGAATGGTATCAGCAGTCGCACCATCTCTGCGTCTCCCTTGTCTGCTGCGCGCATCAGAGCTGTGCGTCCTATTTCGTCAGTAGGGTCTAGAGCATTCAAAAGTAGTACCCCTATATCGTGAGCAGCCTGAACCTCCGTGCAAGACATAATCACTCGCAGATCCACTTGATCCCCGCTAAGCTTTTGTGAATTGGATAGTAGACGGTTAACAGCGTCGATATCTTCACTACGCACAGCAGTCAAAAGCTCGTTCAGTAGGCCATTCTGCACACACTGGTTACTACTGGCCTTGTCAGGCGAAGTGGTGGAACTAGTTAGGAGCTTAGCCACGTGCTTATTAGATCGCAATAGGTTAACCAGTTCGGGGGCAGTAATTCGGTGTTCTTCTGTCACCACCAGGAGGCGCTCAATAATCTTCTTGATCTCTTTGTCTCTCACCAGGATTAAATCTGGCTTCCAGTCCTGCACAAAGACTAGCCTAGGATCTGTCGTTCTTCGAAAGTTGGGTCTAATTCCCGTTGCTAGCTCATAAGTTATTACCCCAAGGCTCCACATAACTGATGCAGCAGAGCATCTATTGTGTATCAAAATTTCTGGGGCAGAATAGAAACACGTGTCAGTCTGCTCATGCTCGATACAGATACCAATCGCGGAAATCAAAAAGCGGCAGCCATTGCATCCAACAAATACATTGCTCGGCTGGAGGGCTTTATACGTGACCTTAGAGGTCTTTATGGTATCTCCGCTAGCAGTCGCAAAACCGTGGAGATAGGTAATAGCCTCAGCGATTTGGAGGATGGCCAGCAAGACAGTGTCAGATGGGATCTTACGCTTGGAGTCCTTGGCTTCCTTGATAAGCGTTTCAAGGGTGCATGGTGGTCTCTCCATTGAAGCATAAATAACGCTGCTTGTCTCAAAAATAGACTCTATGGGAATAATGTTAGGATGACTAAGTGTGGTAGCTAAGTGGAGGATCCGACGGATGGACGTTTTTTCCGATTCCTGCAAGACGTCCAGTCGGACTTCTTCAGTGATGTGCCCCGGGGAGTTTGTTAAAGTTCGCACCTGTCCCAGATATCCGCTGCCAACAACTGGGCCCAGCTCCGGGCGTGGATCCCGTGCAGAAGGCCGTGGTGCCTGGCACGCCACACAGTGGTTCATATAATTCTTGCGGAATTTACTCGCTTAAGCTAAAGTCCCGTACTAGATTTCGAGTTTGAGTAATCGTTCAGTTAGAGTAAAGCGTTGTTGCGATTCATGGTACTTTTGCTCAATAGATTACTGCACCGGCTCTGTACCCCTTTCTTACTGATCGCCAAGTTCTAATGGAATCTTTGCCAACCCGGTCCAGGAGGCCCCTCGACGCTTGAACCATGGAGAGAAACAGGCATGCATGTTTACACTTACAATAGAAGATCAGCTCCCTTTATGAACGGATGCTCAAGGAGCATGGCTGCCGTTGGTCGCTTGATTGGGTCAACAATAAGTGCCTGCCGGCAGAAGTCAGAAAAGAGCACCTCTTCATCCGTGAGATTTGCGCACCTTTCTCCAAAGAGCCAATACTCCAAAAGACCCTGCTGTGGTGTGAAGTAGAAGTGCTGCCTGTTCTTCTCGTCATGCTCATATGGCACCAGCCCAAACGTGAGAACACGCTGACCCATGCGCCCACTCATGATCATGTCCCGGGGTATTGGGCCTATCAAGGAGCAGATGCGGCTCAGGATTGTCGCCACCGAATAGTTGGGGAAGAGTACACGGCCCGTGAGTAGCTCGCAAACCACGCACCCAAACGACCAGATGTCCGCCCGAGAGTCGTAGGGCGTTGCTAGAATAACTTCTGGCGCACGGTAGCTGCGGCTTTGGATGTAGCTGTGCATCTTGTCGAAGATAAATGAGGAGCTTCCAAAGTCAACCAGGGTGACAGACGGCTCATTGACCCCTCCGATAAAGTTCTTGTCGCCATGGAGCAAGTTCTCCGGTTTGAGATCTAAATGAGTGATTCCAAGCCTATGAATATAATCCAGAGCCTTCAGCACTTGACGCGCCATATCCCGAATAACGGGGATTGTGTAGTCGTTGGGCTGCCCCTTCTTTTCTCGCCTGTTAAAGTGAGTGTACAGGTCCTCTCCCAAGAGTGTGAACTTGAGAAGGAGATGCTCGCGGAAATAGAAATAGTCATGGATTTTTATGATGTTGATGTTATTGTTGGGGTCTATGTCTTTGAGGAGCTCAAGCAGATGGACCTCATCTATAGCCTGATCAAAGAACTCCTTCTCTTGTTTAATGATCTTCAAACAGTATGTGACATTATCTTTAAGGTCCAGACAACTAAAGACGTTACTGAACGTTGCCGAGCCAACCATCTTTAGAAGCTTGTATCTGTTTAGGATTGTCTCTCCCTCTATGAACGGAACATCAGCGTCATCGGGAGTCGTAACCTCAATGGCACCGGTGTGCAGCGGGTTATAGTAGATTGGTAGCTTGGAGCAGGCAGTTGTGTTCATTAGCGACGTCTGGTCCAATTGGCCTCGGATTACCTGGAGAATTGTCTTGTACTTGTCTTTAGCAGAGTTCTTTGCATCAGAAGCATCCAATCCGCTGACTGCTGTGTCTATTACCGCGTTGATATCACAGTACGCTGTCACAGGGAGAAGCGGGACAGACGACTGAAAGACCTTCTCATCCTTGCCTGACATCGCCGTGCCACCAGCCTCTGCAACATCCATGGATGTGACAGAAATCTCGAGGCGGAGGCAACTCTTTGTGATGTCATCTGCCATCGGCGGAACAGGGGTGTAGACAACCGCAGGGGCATCAGAGGATCCATTTTTAGAAGCCGTCTGTGTGGGTGCTCCGGTCGACAGCTGCGTCTGACTGTAGAGGCTCGTCGCCATGTTCATTGCGCTGCTAATAGAGCTAACAGCTTTACTACTCTGCGGTCGGATATGATGGGCACCGACATGCCCTAGAGCACCCACACTGCTACTATGGACATCACTGCGGTGGAGTGACCCAGTGGATTGAAGAGACTGGGCACTACTTTCAATCTGCTCGCTCAGTCCAGATGCACTTGTTGCCTTAATGAACTCATTCGTAGTCCTAATCATGGAGTCCATGGAGACACTGTTTCCTATCGAAACCTGTCCAGCTGATGCGGCAAACTGCGCTTGGTCCTCATCTCCCAGGTTTATATCCTCATACTCCTCATTGCCAGAAAGAGCCATGTCCGAGTCGAAGTCGTGATCGGATGGGTCCGTCCTCGTGTCGGAATCTCCACGTGATGAAAACTGCTCAATTCCTGTCGGAAGAGATGACGTCGATTGGCCATAATTAGAACCAGGCCGCCCAGATCCCTGCACCTGGCTGCCTGAGGGCGCTGATAGTCCATCAAACAGGTTAGATAGAATACTGCTGTATGAGAGTTCCTTAGCCCTGAGCTTCTCGGCAAAGCTACGGACGGTGGAGTCGAACTTTTGCCGCTCGTCTGCTGTTAGTGCACTCTGAAGCTTGGCTTCTATGGTTGCCTGGGGCGATGACAGATGCTCCATGATCAGATCCCGATAGTTGACGCTTTCTACTTTGGTCGTGGATGGGGTGGCATTTTGAACAACTCTGAACTTCATGGAATCCTTATTCTCTTTCGTACTGGCCTGCATTCGTGATTCTTCGGCGGAAAGAGAATGCTGGTTCCTGATTTTGGAGGCTAGAACACCCATCTTAGGTTGCACTTGAGATGGCACTTGGAGGGGGTTGGTTGAGCTGAGACCGAATATCCCCTGGCTCTCTTGAAGGGTTGATGAGAGCTGTTGCCCCATCGTTGTTTGCAGACTACTAGCTGCAGTTGGGATTGCCGCAAGGCTATTAAGTGTTGTAGTATCGCTAGTATCTTCTTCTAGAGGCCCGATACGCTTGCTGGCATTGAGGGCAGACTGAAGAAGAGTGACCGGCGCAGCAGAGGGAACCAATGCTTGGAAAGCCTGACTATATGCACGCGACTTGCGCATGAAGAAGACATTTGGATAGTGAGAGGACCGCTCCACCACATACTGTTGTTCCGGTCCGGGGTCTGGGCTCTCAGCAGAGGGTTGCGCGCGCATTGTGATTATGCGCGAACCAGCACGCTTCGAAATGGCCTTTGACTGAGGCCTGATATACCTCGCGTTTAGATCTGACGCAGCGCTGCCTATGTTGTGTTCAGAGAAATAAACGGCGCTTCCCCAATCAAATGTCCAAAGGGGCACTCCGTCGTCCGTTGGAACAGACTCCACAAGCCCCTTAAAGGACCCCAAGACATCTAGAAGCTTCACCGTTACGTCTGCTTCGGGTGCAACGCGCTGAGTAAGCAGACGAATGATGCGGCGCTTTAGCTCAATGAACTCCTTGAGAGCACGGGGGGTTATCTTTCGCGACAAAACCTGCTTCTCGCTGGCGGACATTGTCGGAACTGGCACCTTGGGATACGGATCGGCGGCCTCTGCTGCTGCAATGGTTCCACGTGTGGCTAGCCCGAGCCCCTTCTTCTCCGGGATATTGTGGGGCTCAAAGTCACGACTCTGTATTTTCTCAATCTTGTGCCCAAGGATTATCTGCCTGGCAAAGCCCGTCTCGCCCTTGTAGTAGTCCATATATGGATTCGACAGACGCGCATAGCCCATGGCCGGTGGAGAATCGGGCGCAAGGCCTTTGAGCTTCTGGTCGGCGGGGAATATACGCTTGAGATAAAGGTGTTGATAGGGCTGCTTATGGCAGACGGACATGCGGTAGCGCTTAGAGGTCACGGGCACAAGGCCCAGGTAATCTACTTTAGTGTCTATGTCCCGGAACATCTCCAGGAGGAATTCGTTCTCCAGGGCCCTTCTCCGACCAAAGAAAACGGGGTGGATAACAAACTTATCGATGGTTGAAGCCATGTTGTGCTCTTTGATCATCGCCGACCGATTGGCCAGGGTCTCCACAGTCACACACCCACGAGAAATGTTCAGGAGAAACTCCAGGTCCGTTGTGATTCGAGTTTCTCGGCGCAGAGACTCGCAGTTCTCCACATTCTCAGCCAGCTCGTTTTCTCCATGCTGACGTAGAAAGCCTGCGATGAGCGTGATCGTGTCCATTAGAGACGGGGAATTTTGTTACTAAATTTTGAATACTATATTTTTTGAACATGGACCTCTTTCACCTTAGCGATGACGAGTACATCCGCCGGTTCGACCTCGCGAAGCTCACGGAGATGTACCTCGAGAAGGTGGAATCGGCACAACCCCAGACCCAGGCAGACGCCAACGCGGCCTCGCTAGAGTTTTTTAAATCGGTGGCCACGGGATCTGCGATCAAGGGGCTTTCGTGGTCCCAGATCAAGGAAAGGGAACTCTATATGAAATGCTACATTCACCTCTTTGTTCGGGTGTGTGCAGATTTGCAGCCACACTCGAAGCAGGATTGGATGGATGCCTGTACACTTGTAGTTCATGACGTACCGTTCAAAGTGGTAGACACCGTCATAGATGCATACAACGTCAAAAAGGCCCGCTTCCGGGGTCGGGTTTGCGACGGATCGGCCTCTGGGCCGCGACAGGTTTTCGGAGAAGCCATGACGTACTCACAGAGGCTACCAGATCAAATCGTGGATAAAGCACAATGGTTCATTGCATATTTTAAGCACATCCAATCAGTTGAGTTCATTGAGCAGCTTTTCGTTAATCGCGAAGGCTCGGTCGATAAACAGAGTCTTCTGTCCGATCTTTCTTTGTTGGAAAGTAACGGTGATATATCAGGCGATAAGTTTACCGCAGTCCAGATGAAGGTGGCTGTTGATAGATTGGCTCAGTATGACTTTTGCTCCCTCGTTGCTGAACTTCTCTACCTGGTCACCGAGCTATAGCAAAACTAGACTACATGCATAGTACTCGGCTCCATGGGCTGCACTGGATATAAACTTGGAGAGCTGTGCTGCAGCCTCGGTGCACAGCTCATGCGCCCGTACATCGAAGCTGCGGGTATCTCCGCCCATAAACATAGCCTCCCCCATCTGAGAAACATGTGCCCGTATGGCACACCCTTTTTTGTAGACCTCGTCGTAAGTGCCACAGATTACTAGAGAAGCCTCTCCTAGGGTGAACCTATTCCACGAGCCTCTGTACAGCCAAATAATCGGTATGTCCGTTTGAGTGATTGCGCTGATTGTGTCTCGGACGGTCTTTACTACATTATATGGTTGAATGGCCCGGCATCGTAAGAAATTCACAGGCCCATGTATAGCAGATTGAATATCCTCTACACTCAAGTTAGAATGGACTTCCTCGTTTTGGATACGCTCCACTAGTAACGGGGCAATCGAGTTACTGTGAAGTTGCCGGTAGAGTCCTGGGTTCAATGCTTCTATGGCCTCTTTAATTATGTTATAGCACACTTCGTGTGTCTGATGAGGATCTGCGAGGTCGCCGGCCATGAAGATGTGATTGGGCTTTACCTCTGCTATGATATCCATGACAATTCGTATATCCGATTGATCATAGGTTCGCTTGGAGCGATAATTTCTATTATAAAATGGCAATCTAAGGAAATGGATATGATTGGTAGGCACCCCCAGTAGTTCGAGCGCACTTCTCGCTTCGGCCTCCCTCACCCTTGTCTTTTCTATGCAAAGATCGAGAGGATCTTCAGGAACATGCTCAAGATACATGTCTCCAACAGAGTTGTACCCTGCTACACAGTATGCGATATGCAGTATTATCTCTGGAGTGTTTAAATGCTGGAGGCCCAGACCGGCAGCGATTACGTCGTCGTCTGGATGAGGGCTGAAAAGTAGAACACGCGATCCAGTAAAGAACGACGGGTCTGTAACGCTGTATACCTGTGAAGCTATCTGGGCGAATATCTCTTTTCTGATGGCATCAGGAACCTCGAGCTTGCAGTGCATTGCCCTGGGATCTGTCAGTATCGTTCTATAGTGGTAGCTATTCTGATTTGAGGTATAACCTCTCAACGGATCCTGATCCATAGTCTGGTGCGTTAAGGTATGCTGAGAAATGAGATACTTTAAGGCTCCACAAGCGTGGATATCACAGTACAATACTTTTGGATATTTTTCCATTTTGAACTGGTCTTCCTGCCTGGCTAGCACTGCCTGATAGCAGGGTTTTTCGTGTCGCTCTCCAGAGAATACTGTGAGGATCCGTTCTGGAGCAGTTCGCAATGTTTCCAAATAAGAACTGAGCAGCCCGGGATCTACAGGAGGCTCACAAGTCAGTATATCCAGCGATAACAAGAAGATATCAATCTTCGTGTTTTCTGCATAACTCCCGAGAGAAATGTTGACACCCGGCAAGCTTTTTGTGATTTCCTCCCTCTGCTCGGATGTGTCTGGATGCACAAGTACTTTGACCCTTACATCAGGACAAGATGTTACATAGCTTCTTACAATATCCAAAAGAATTGTGTCTCCATTGATCCAGAACACTGCGCTTTCTCTGCAGAGACGCACATGCTGCAGCTTCTTCAACTGGTTCGTTATACACACAGTCAGCTCCTGCTGGGACTCGCTCACCCAGAGGGTTGTATCGCCCATAGCAAGGCTCGTCATATATTTAGTTAGGAATCACAAAAGGTAGACAGCTGATGTACTAAATCTACACTGTATACACAGCGACTATCTCCAGTAAACCTGTCAGATCTTTTTCCTTCAACAGGTCTACAAGGGGCTTAAGCGAGTTGCCAGAGATCACATAGCCGAGGAGTCTTCTGAAGGTAGTCGATATATCGTGTTGTTCAATGGCTTGAAAAAGGTCTAGCTGGTTCAGTGAAACGTCGTGCTTGACAAGAACAGATGCAACAACATAGTTCTGATTAGCGAGTGCTATATCGACGGCTGTTAAGCGATCCTGGTCCACTGAGTACAGAATACCCGCCTCTTTATAACACAGGGCAGCTGTTGCAGGCATGTTTCTCTCGGCACAAAGACGCAGGGCTGTGTTACCGAAGTCACTGGTAAGGCCCGCCTCTCGGGTAGCTAAGAACCGTGCTATTGCCAGAAAGCCATTTTCCACAGCATGAAAGAGGGCAGTCCGCGCGCTGGCGTCCCTCATTCCCTCGAATTTGTCACTGTATCTCCAGACGGCCTCTATGTCATTATGCAACGCAGCAAGCATAAGAGGTGTGTATCTGTTGTCCCCCTCAATATCTGATGATGAGATAGTAGAGTCTCCCCTCCGTGTATAACCTGCCTCCAAGTGGGCTGGGGAGGTATCAACTAGGTGTGTGTATACACGTGCTATCCCTGCCTCCCAATTCTCTGATAACACTGTGGCCAGCACATTGGCGCCTCGATAGTCTAGCAGCGCGCTTTCGTATTGCAAAAGAACACAGACAAGAGGGAGGTTTTGTGTTTCTGCTGACAGAAGTAAGGCTGTTTTGCCGAAGACATTTCTTTTCCCCAAAAGAGAAGTATCAAAGGAGAGGCCAGCAGATGACAAATCGCAGAGCTTCGTGGTATCTTCTGTGTGCTCCTGGAGCTGCATCGTGCATGGAAAAAGTGCGCTGCGCATCAATTCTGTAAAGCACAAGTAATTGCTAAATTGATCGGGGTTGTAGAAGCACAGCCCATGTGTGCTTCTAAGCATCTTCGCCATTCTGAGGTTTGAAAATGCAACAAGGTATTGATCCGTGAAGCTGGCGTGAGCGGTGAGACGCTCAATAACTGTCTGTATTCGGGGGTGCTTGCGTAGCTGACTGAGTTTTGGTCTGACTCCCGCGAGCGGTGCTAGCAGAGAAATAATCAGAGAAGCCAGTTCGCTGGAGGCATGGCTGGCAACGTCATACGACACATCAAAGTATGCCGTTTCTAACGCTTCCTGAGAGCGGATTGTTTGAAGTATAGCAGGAGGCTTGCCGGTGCAGCAAGCGTAGAGAGTAGCCCCCAAAGACCAAAGGTCCGATTGAGGAATGTAGCCCCGTCCAGCGATGACCTCCGGGGCGGTAAATTGGAGCGTTTGAATGTCCATGTTCTGGACATCCTCAGGGAGCAAGGTGCGACTGAGTCGTGGACAAGCAAGTCGAGGACCCATTTCGGTCAAGTGAATCGCCCCAGGAGAAATCCCCATATGAGTTAGCCCTTGGTCGGCCAGATGGCCAAGTGCAGTAATCGATGCGGCGGCGATCTCCCAGATCAGCTCTTCGTGAAGAACTACCCTGTCGGATGGGTTAGCGTACAAGAGATCAATTAGTAACTGAGCGGTGCAACAAGGGGCCGGTTCAACGACGCTGAAGATCCGCCTTTTTGGCTCGTGGTGCACTGCATGTATGTGAGTTGTGAACCTAGAGCGAACTGACCGAACTTGCTTAAGTATCTGCGTGCTGCTACCCGGAGAGGCCATGTAACGGGTTATGCGAACAGGTTTCCGGGTAACTCCATCGGTGCCTGCATAGGAAACCACGTCATTGCCTCGAAACAGCTCATGGTCGGCTCGGAACCGATCGATGACGGGAAGCATCCTCGATTTTTACCAAATGCTCGAGGGTAACGATCTAGCTAGAAGCACAACACACCTGTTGATTTACTTATGTCTGTGATGCTATTAAATCTTGAACTGCTGGTACATAGAGGCCGGGGTCTGCTGATATTGCTGCTGCACCGGCAGTGGCTGCACCTGCAGGGCCTGCTGCTGCGGTTGATAATATTGCTGTTGGTATTGCTGCGATGCTTGCTGTATCTGCACTTGCTGTGCCTGTTGCTGATACTGCTGATACTGCTGCATGTATTGGTTCTGCTGCTCGATTATTTTCTGGATCATCTCGTGATGGCTCTGCTGCTGCTGCGTAGCGGGCTGAAGCCCTGGTAAGGTTGATGGTGTAGCAAGCTGGCCCAGTTGATAAGGTGAAGCGACAGGGATGGCAGCCTGTTGAAGACCTCCGGACACAGAGCCAGGAGCAGGGTACTGAAGAGTTGGCTGAGGAGCGTTCTGATACGGCTGCTGGGGCGTGGAAAACAGGGTCTGCTGCAGCTGAGGCTGGAGAGTCGATTGAGACGGTAGGCCTTGAGGTTGAAGTGGTCCTGTCTGTATGGATGATGTGGACGAGACCTCTGGGAGAGAAGGGGTGGACTGCATCCCTTGCTTCTCCATAGCACCCTGCCCCGGGGGTTGGTCTGGACGGCGAGCCCACTCCTGTTTAACATACTTTCTCTCTATCCACTTACGCCTTCCTGTATCGTCGTTCTCGTCTGGCTTACTTAGACCATCAGGTAGGTTGTACAGGTATTCTGAATTAGCCGCTAAATTGCCTCGCATCCCTGCCATCTCCTCGGCAGTCCACTTGTCAAGGGTGAGCGATTTGACCTTGGAAATGTGCCGTCCTAGACTCCGATGTATTCCCGAGCACTTAATACAGACAAAGGTGCCGTGGTTAAAGCACGCCCATTTGACAGAGCGAGAGGTGCAGTCTGCACACTCCTTGTTACCGTGCTGCTTGGCCATGGCCAAAAGCTTGGCTTTGTTCGCTTCTGACTGCTGGTCGTACTGCATCCCTGTTTTTTAATCTCCTTTTAACTTCTTTTGACTCCCGCTATGACAATTAAACCTATGACAGAGGGCCCTGACCCGAGGTATGCTCGACACCGTGCACTTCACGAGATATCATCAAATGATGCACGGATACATGCAAGCACGGTTTGCGTCGTGGGGGCGGGGGGCGTTGCTTCGAGCTGTCTGCTTTACCTTGCAGCGGCGGGAGTCCGGAAGCTCATCATTGTTGACAACGATAAGGTAGACGTCACAAATCTGCAGAGGCAGGTCATCCATAACGAAGAGCGCGTCGGAATAAACAAGGCCGAGAGTGCAGAGACGGTCCTACGAGCGCTCAACAGCAACGTGAAGATAGTTGTTCGCAAAGAGAAGTTCACGCGTGAGACGGCCCCCAAGATCCTCGAAGGGCGTGTGGATTGCATTGTCGACACGACAGACACCCCCGAGGCGAGGTTCCTTGTTGCCGAGGTGGCCTACAGAAGGTCCATTCCCTTGGTGCACGCAGCAGCAGTGCGGTTCACAGTGACTCTGACGACGGTGATTCCATGGTTGAAGAAGTATCCGTGTCTCCGGTGTCTCTACAGAGCCATTCCAAGTCGCGAATTGCGACAGGTCTCTGACCGCGACGGGATATTTGGTCCTGCTGCAGGAACAGCCGGCACCCTTGCAGCATCCGAGTGCCTCAAGGTCTGCCTCTATCGAGATGACAAGAAGCTCCCAGACCTTGCCTTATGTGGTAGATTGATGATCATTCACTGTTTTGAGATGGTGTCACGGACCATCCCCTACACAAAGAAAGCAGACTGCGCTCTGTGCTGTGAGATATATGACTCGCGAAACGACCATAAGCTCCTCAAGAGCCTTTAGTGGCAGTTAACTCCTCGCCTTAATAAATCTTTTCCTTTGTCGCTTACTCATCAACACCCCGAGACATACGACGAAGACAACAAGCTCAACGACAAGGCCGAACATTAAGCCGATAGCATGGGCCTCGCGTTCCTTTTTAATCTCGTCGGGGCGTTCTTTCAGCCCCAAATCTATTTCTGGCTCAAAGTATGCACCAACATAAAACATGCAAGCGAGAAAGCCCAAGAAGATGACTCCAAAGCCGCCCGTTATAAGGCAGCACCAGTTGCAGCACGTGGCTATAAAGCTCATTTTTTGTAGGGTCCTGACTTTTAGCTAAGTTTTGTATCATGACGCCTGAGCCGCAGCATCCACTTTCACGTGTTAAGAGCCACAATGGTCCGTCGCTCTCCAAGAGAATTGCTGCAACCAAACCTAAGCGTGATGCTGCCTCGCGAGAAGCTCGTCCAAAGGAGCCGCCAAAACCTCCCCCATCAATTCCTCTAGATCATATTGACGAAGACGGAAACACAGGCCTACACAGGGCTGTCCTCCAAGAGCAATATATCTATATTTCTGACGCATCCAAGCATGCAGGCCGTCGGAACAAGGCACAAAAGACAGCACTTCATCTTGCTGCAGAAAAAGGAGACTTCACGGCAATTAGCCATCTGGTGCTGCTCACAGGCGAAACAGGAGTGCGAGTGGGGGGATCCGTAAAGTACGGAGGGTATATCGTATGGAAGCCAACGGCCTTAATGATATGTGCGCTCCTCAATCACAGCACTCAGTTGGTGCAAAACGGAGAAGAGGACATCAAGCTTCACGAGGCGCTGAAGGCACTTGTAAAGGCAGAGAGTAGAAAGCAGGATTGGTCCGGATATACTGCATTGATGTACGCATGCATTGCGGGGAACACCCATCTTGCCATGGAGCTTGCTCCAATTGAAGCGGGAATCCGGTCAAAGGGAGGCTGGAGTGCTCTTATGCTAGCCACACAGCTTGGTCGACTGCCCATAGCCGCCAAGCTTTACCATCGAGAGTACGGGCTGCAGAATGCTGGCGGTTGGACTGCCCTAATGGACGCTGCAGCCAACGGCTGCCTAGAGATAGCATACCTTCTTGCGCCGAAAGAGCGGGGTATGCGCACAAAGAAGGGCAGGACTGCTCTCATGCTGGCTGCTAGCAACGGACATGCAGATATTGCCGCTCTTTTGCTAAAGGAGGGCAACTACGAGGATTCTTCGGGATATAGTGCACTCATGTATGCCACCCAAAAGGGCCACTTGTCTCTTGTCCAGCTCCTTGGCCCTGTAGAAGGAGAGCTCTACGCGGAAAGGGCTCTCAGGCTCTTGAAAAATACAGTCACCCCAGAAGTGCGGGCTCGTTACCAGGAAGCCATGGCGAGGCGTGAACAAGGGCCTCCAGAGAGAGGCGTTTGCGAGACTTTGCCGAGTGAGGATAATATTACGCAGAACTCACCGCCCCCCTCTTCGCCCAGTGAGTGCACTGAACTAGAATTTCTTGTTACCGGGTCGAAGTATGCCATGGCTTTCTGCGAGCCCTCCACAGACATAAGCGATAATAGATAAAATCTGTCGGTGACAAAATTTAAAATGAAGCAAGCGAGTGTCCAGCAATTCATGGCCGTCACGGGGAGTGGCCATAGACAAGCAGAACAGTTTCTGGAAATGAGCGGTGGGGACGTAAACACGGCTATTATGCTCTTCTTTGACTCCGGGGTCGCTGCCAGCCCCGATCCCGTACCTGCACCCGCGCCCCGTGCACCTGCCGCAGATCCCAAGTCGCACCATAAACAATCAGCTGCAGTGCCAGAGAAGGGTTCGTCTTCTCGGCCTGGACATGCTAACCCTGCCACCCACCAAAAGCCGGCAGCCCCCGCCCATGTTCGCCCCGCTCAGCCTTCTGCCCCTATAGACAAGCATAAATCTACAAAACCTTCTGCACCCGCTCCTCCGCCTCCCCCGAGTAAGCCAACGGTTTCTGCATCAGGGGCTAAGCAAGGGACGAAGTTCAACACCATGGCTGATATACTGAATGACAAAAGCGATAGTGACCGGACTGAAAATGAGTACTTTGCAGGAAGCGGTCAGAAGATCAGAGCACCTCCCCCTCACACCATAAAAGACGTCAACAAGCAGGAGGCGGAGCAGGAGTCTGGTTGCAAGATCGTCATTGAGTTCTACTCCGACGGGCTCTTGATCAATGGCCATGAACCTTTCTATCCTTTTAACAGCAAGGAGACGGAGGCTATGCTTGATGAGATGAAAACCAAGCAGACGCTACCAAAGGCAATCTTGAGTGCTCTTCCGGAAAACGAGCGACCAAAGCCTGGCCAGCAGATCTATACGGAGATCAAGAACCATCCAGAAGCTTATAGCTCAGTGAAGCAGGCTAACGAAAGCTCTAAGAAGGTTTACACATTCGATTCGAACGAAAAGGCGCGATCTTTGGGAGATTGCAAAAAGACGGCTAAGCATTCTCAGCATGGGTCTGCCCCCGGGCCCACTTCCTCTGCTGCTACTGCCGAACCTTCCCTCGCCTTGATACCTGGGAAGCCCGTAGCCCCAGTTCGTGTTAGAGCAGACAAAGTGTACACACTACAAACAAACCCAGAGCGACACACCATTAAGGACCTTATAGATTGCCTTCGTAAGGCCGGAGTTAGCCTCCCCACGCCTTCAGAGTGCCTAGTCAAGGTGACGTCTACCTCGACAACGCTTTCAGACATCTCGATGACAATCGCCGAAGCAAAGCTTGAGCGCCAACAAATCATAATCGTCGCTAAGTGACAAGGCACATAGAACAAGAGTAAATAGCCCAGGCGTGTGCATAGCCGGACGCGGAATTCATTTACTAGTTACATCCACACAGACTCCGGGATCCCCAGGGCTTTGGCACGCTTTGCAACCTCATCTTTAAGCTCGTCTGGATGGAACTTGCGTGCTTCGTTAAGGAAGCACATCTCAAGAAGCGGCTTTGTGAGCTCGTACTTCTCGAAGAAGAGTTCAAGAGGCTGACCGGTGTAGACAGGCTCGTCAGACTCATCGTGGATTCCTTCAAAGTAGGGATGGCTGAGGCACTCGTTAACGGTGATGCGCTTCAAGGGATCCAGTGTGAGCATGCGGGTAAGGAGGTCAATGCCCGCCTCATCCAGCATGGGAAACTTCTGTGAAAGGTCCTGCGGCGCCGAGGGCTTGAGGGCGAGGACGTAGCTCTTCGCCGAGTCCGACGCAATTCTGTCTAGAAGCTCCTTCTCCGGGGTGCCCAAAACCTCGAGGATCAGGTGTAGTTGGTGGATATAATCTCTACCTGGAAACAGGGGCTTTCTGGCGATGAGCTCTGCAAAGATACAGCCCACGGAGAAAATGTCAACAGGCTTCCCATACTGCGGCCACCCCAGTATGATCTCTGGCGCGCGATACCAGCGCGTTGCGACATACTCTGTCATTTGTGTGTCGTGCTTTTCGGCATCCTTCAGCTCCTTAGTCTTTGCAGCGTGGTCGTCCACAAGTCGAGCCAGCCCCAAGTCACAAATCTCCAGGGCACAGTCAGAGTTAAGGAGAAGGTTGGAGGGTTTGAGGTCTCTGTGAACACAGTTTGCCGAGTGCAGGTACTTTAGCCCGCGCAGGAGCTGGTAGACGAAGTATTGCATATGGTCGGGGCTGAGGTCTTGCTTGGAGGAGATTATCTTGTGCATGTCGGTTTGCATAAAGTCGAACACGACGTACAAGTCGTCAAAGTTGGAGGGGTCCTCTGGGACCAGGACATCGAGAAGCTTCACGATATTTTCGTGGTCTAGCATGCGGAGAATCGTTATTTCGCGTAGTGTGCGCTTAGAGTCGACAAGATGAACAAAGAGATTAGAGATCTTCTTGATAGCCACGGTGGTGTTAGTCCTGGTGTCTACTGCTTCGGCGACAACGCCGTATGCGCCTGCCCCCAAGGCCTTTGTCACCTTGTAGTAGTCTGGGACGCAAAACCGTGTTCCCTTGATGTTGAAGACGGCCAGCGGCATTTTTTGAGAGTGATAATTTAAATCTGCTTTTGGGTTTTTTGATCTAGAAGGTCAAGGACTAGGCCGCAGTGAATATTTATGGAAGATTGTGCACGGTCATCTACTAGTGTAACAGGGGGGCCCAGGACGAAGTCTTGTTAAATAGATCAACGTGGTGAATTGCACCAGATAACCTTTAAGAAAATACATTTCCAGTGATGGACGGCGACAACCAGACTCCCCTTACCAAGAGCCCGGAGCGGTCTCTCTGGAGCATGGACAAGCTCATTGAAACGTTGAGTATTCTAACGGCACCCGAGAAAGCTTCCTCAATGTCGCTCATGGGAAAGGGAGGCATTTTTGACTTGGCCACGTCGTTTAATGTTTGGTCGACAAATCTCTTTTTATCGTCTAATCTTCGCCCAGACCAAGGTGCTGCCATTGTCTTTAATTTCTTGATCAGTCGCATTTTCAAAGAGGACTATGTCACTGGCTTAATTAGGGCCCGTGCAGCCTCCTCGAGCCCAGCTCTCCTTGGGGAGTCGGTCGACAAGGAGCTGAAAATACGCGAAGTGCTGTTTGGTTGTAGTGAGAACCCTGAGCACCACACGCCATTGTCACAGAGCCCCTGTTTAGATCTCAACGATTGTAGCAAATTCTATTATCCAGAGTCTTATATCCATTCAGAGCTCTTCATGAAGCTTCACGGAGAGGAGCTTCCGTTAAGCATTTGTGGCAAGGTCTTGAACAGTCATCTCGGCTTTAAATGTCAATACTGCACTACCGATAAGTCCTCCGTTATGTGCCTCGAATGCTTCGATGAGTCAAAGCACGTTGGGCACGAGTATCGGTGCTTCTTCAGTACGGGGCTCTGCGACTGTGGCAGCGTCGTCTCGACAGGGAAGACCGGGGTGTGCGCAAGGCATCTTGGAGACAACTACTCTAAAAATGCCCTGTCTGTCTACACGGGGATCGTCGGTTCATCGTGTGATTTAGCTATGTTGTGCAATGTCGCAGTCTTCTTGAGCGTTGCGCTTCTTCAGAGCATTATTTTTCCAATAGAAGCCTTTCTAACGAATCTTACAGCTATTGATGCGGGCGCTTTGGGTGACTCTCCCGCTATTTCTATCGCTTCGGCAAAAAGGTCTGATCTGGAGTGTTCTGTCCAATCCCTGGTTAATAATGTTTTTCACCACTTATTTATTAATGTGAAAATTGATGGCTTTTGGAGGATTCTTTCAAAGGTGCTGACTATCCCTGTCACAAACTCTACCACCGTGGGTGACATTCTGGCATATGACCCTGTTCATCAACGCTACTATCGGGATGTTATGGCGTTTGCGCAGAAATTAGTTTCTTCTCGTAGGTCTCTGATTGCCGGTATTTCTAAGCTGCGGTCAAATGCCCTTTCACTGTCTATGCTGATGGAGGACTTGGCGGAAGGACTGGTCCTTTCTGACATTATCTTTTCTTTAAGCTTATTCAAGGTTATCCTAGACAAGGAAAAGTTGTGCTTGTCTCGCACGACAACTGCCTCTGGACTGGAACATGATCAGCGCTGGCTAACTGTGGATAGTCCTGCACTCAACGACCTACTCAAGTTTATCGTGGATGGATTAATTTTTGAGCCAATCTATCGAGTCTTTCTGTGCAATATTTATCATTGGTATTACCCATATCTTTTCATTGGTGCCTTAAATAATGACATCTCTGAAGGGCCATGGGACTTGGCTGCAGACAAGCTTGCTCACGCATTTACTCATGACCCGCCCATGTTCTGCAAATATAAGCCGCGCTTTCTGCAGATTCAACGTGCATTTGCTTATGGTCCCATTTCGTTTTCTGTCGTCAACGAAGCGATAAAGCAGTTATCCTTGATATACAACGATAAGTATGCGGAGACTTTCGATGCTGCTTACCTCCATTCTTACTTACTAGAGAACTTCAAACTTCCCCACAGAGTCATTCCTCAAGACAATGTCTGGACACGAGCGCCAGTTCAGATATACACAGAGTTTAACCCCGTAGACGAGGCCTGCCATCTTATTGCAGGCTACATTCTCTCCACAGTTTATCTTTCTCTTTCGATCTCCTTTGTTCCCAATTATCTCCACAGGGAGCGTGCCTTGCTTTTTAGGGAATACATATTTAAAACTCTCCACGATAACTATATTGATTGTGGACAACTTGGTGCTGGAATGGCTTCTACTGCAGCCGAGAATGGGTCTCTGACAGATACCATTTTTAATAGCATCTTCCGTGGCCTCGATGAGTCACTTCCGTACATGTGTTGTATACCGAACGGTTTCTTGCCTATCAGCAATCTTGACAATGGCGAGTATGGCGATGACACAAGGTTTGCAATAGAAGCGCACCGAAGCTTCTTTGACGTGTACTTGTCGTCGTGTATTGGAGTCCACCATCCGATAGCATATTCTGGTAAGATGAGCAACTTTACACAATCGTCCTTCTTCCACCCGCTTCCTGCTATGGCCTTGCTGGCTGTCATTTCATCCCTAACAACTGTGGATGCTCTTCAAGTGATGTATGGAAATCATTTGGAGATGGACACTGAATTCGGAACAACGCGTTATCGAAATGTGCTGACCTATTCAGACTTTACTACCTACTTTACTTACGGGGCCTGGTTCGCGTTTACTCACGGCCCGTTTTATAATGACAATCCAATGTTTCCCAACGACACTATCTCCCGCAAGCATTGTGACGCCTTCAAGCTTGCTGAGCTTCGTGGAAAGTTTGGTCGCAATGACTCCGAGATTCAGACAGGCAATGCCTATATCCTTTCGTTTTTGCATCTTCTTTGTATGTTTATTCTTACGATAAATAATTCCGAAGCGCTATCTTTTGAGCCCTTGTTTCAGGGGGCAAAGGAAATCGAGCGGGAACAAGCTTCTGTTGAAGCCTTGAAAACAGGCTCGTCAACAGTGGAAAAATTTGATTATCATGAGCTCGACCTGGAAGTCCACATCTATCACCCCATTTTCCTTCCTCTGCACTACATCCTTGGGTATACACTTGGCGCCGTTTCTACACGAAACGCATTTGGGATATCATCTGTTGCCGTCAGTGATGTTATTGCCCAGACCATCGATCGTATTATCAGCCTGAACAATTACGTCGAAGAGCCCGTCTCCATTCTCAAGGTGCAGCTCTTTAATTTGTGCTGCCACTATAACAATGTCCTCAAGGGCTCCTCTATCTTTACAGAGTACTTAAGAGCTAGCTGTCTGACCCCTGAAGAGCAAAAGCTGGCGGTTGAAATAGGGATCTGTGACCTTGCACATGACGAGGAATACGTATCTCCGTGCCTTGTACGGCCTCGTCACACAGTCTGGAACCAATACCAAAATATCTTCTGGAATGAGGCATGCCTTCCGGGCCTCAACGTTCGAACCAGAATCGCCTTGGAGCTCGTCTTACTGCCATTCAAGACTCTAATTGCGATTGCCCTAAACTTTTCCGAGATGTTTGTGCGCTCAGGCATGGCACAGAAGTATATATTCTATGTCCTGATGAATAGCTCTAGGGCCTGTTCGGCTGATTTGCTGTCTATGGGATATGCTTGCCAAAGCGTTCTCAGATTTCTTTACGATCAGCAAGAGAGCTGTCCTGGTGGTCTGGAGGCCTTCTTCTTCATTCTGTTCAACTTGGCAGAGCGCCGCATAGCTTTAGAGAAGGACCTGGCAAAAGTCACAAATGCGCGAGCTTTAATTCTGAAGACTGCAATCAGCTTTCTATGCTTTGATTACTCTCCGCGTACCGTTGAGAATCAACTCGCTCTTCTGTATCTTCCAAGACTTGTGGATGCGTCGCCTGACGATACTGTTGTTAGCATTGTCGATAGCTGCATGAGACTAACCTTCTGGCGCGAGCCCACAGTGATGGGGACTCTTGCTCAAGTGTGCGATATTATATATCCTGCAACTGACGCTCTGAATACAGACGTCTATTCGATCACCGAGTGTGCAGCATACTATCGACTGAACAAAAAGGGGTGGGCGTATACTTCCATCTATTCTCCCACAGTCACGGGGATAGACTACGTAGACGCTTGGGAGCGATATTGTAGGGAGACCAACCAGCCGCAGGAGGACTGCTCCACCGACAGGCGAGTGCCAGTACCCGTTCCCCAATGTGTTGCTGGACTCACTGCGCTGAGCAATGATGTAGAAAAATTGGATGGCGACTATGCAGATCTTATTTCCATACACGGAAATGGACTCAGTCCAGCGCTTACTGCTGCCGTCATGAGAATTCCTTGCGTTGGCCTGTACATATGTCAGGTATTTGCTGATGCTGTACTGAGTCACTTCACGCGGACAGACGTCGAATCCTCTCTGCGACCAACAGTGGTTCTGTGCTTATGCAACACATTCTTCTTGCTTCACCACTACACTATTCGAGACGTTCCTGAACATGCTGGAGCTGGCGCTCCCTCACTAGTCGACCCCGCCGTCAAGAAGGCTGTCACTGAGACATACGATGCGCTCTATACTTATATCAAGAGCGTGCTTGATTCGGGCATCTCGCACTGCTTCTTCAACGATTCGATTATGGAATTTCTAAGGACAGTTGTGTACCGTGAAAAGTTCCAACCAGAGGTATCTCTCGTTGATTCAGAATTATCGACTACAAAGCCAATTACGAAAAAACCTAAGAGAAAGTTGGCGTTTCTGAAGGAGAAGCTTGGCCCCAGTAAGTCTGGGATCCTGATGTCGATAGATGACCTCACCAGTTTAGAGACACTAACTAGCATATCGCATGAACCTGCTAAGAATAGCAATCTTGATACTCAGCAGTTTTTCCCAGCGTCAGTAGGCAAGGTCTTATATGAGGTTGTTCAGAGCATCATAGTTAATAATGACACTCAGTGCTACAACTGCAGGCTCTTTGATGTGCCAGAACTGCCCATATGCCAGCCAGTAGCGTTCGTCCCGAACAGCCTCAACAAGCTCTACGCAAATATCCTTAAGCAAAGCCACAAGGGAGACAAGGAATTCTCGAACATATTAGAGCACCCGTGGATCAACCCAGCTCGCCAACTGTTCGACAAGGACCTGGTGTTGATAGCCTATCCGCCGCTTCCTGCAGACCAGCATCTTGAAGAGATTGCGCATCATACTAACCACATCAAGTATAAGGATGCCTTTCGAGGAGTGATCTTTTCTAAGAGCACCACACTTTCCATCTGGAACGCAATACCGCTTGTGCACAGTCTTTCTGACAAGCTCTATGACGTCCCAACGGTGAAGTATTTCATTCGCGTTGCAGGATGCAAGCATTTCTCCCACAGCAGCTGTTTGTCCTTCAATAAGATCACTTCTCTCCCTAAGACCTGCTCTATCTGCCGCCGCTTTTATAACACGTGTCTGCCCGTAGTGACCGCCTACAAGAGTCAGTCGTCAAGTCCAGAGGGGATTGCTAAGCTTAAGGAGCAGTTGCTCGAGGAGTTTCGTCTTCAATCACTCGCCATGGCCATGTGCATGAGCGTTCTTATTTACCACGGTAACGCAACCATCGCACTATCCACACAGCAGCTTTATGCAGAATTCGTCAGTGCCTCCTCGTTTTCTCTTACTGAGTCGCCAACAGCCCAGCTTTTGTTCCCAAGACGGTCTGCTAGGCATCAAGAGACGTCCCTAGCGCATTCACAAAATCTGATCTACTCTGCATGGTACATCATGTTTTCTGACCTCATTCTTTACAACACCTTCCTTACTCTCCATGGCTTCAGCATAGGGCTTCAAAGCAAGCTTTTCACGGATAGCAGACTTATGACGATGCTTGGATCCAATCTCTCGTCCCTTGGGAGCGTTGTATTGATAGCACAGATAACGCTTTCCTTTCTCATAAATAGGTATGGCCCAAACCTGTGCACTATCGCCTTTGGTCCTGCGCGCATGAGGTGCACCCATATACTACAGCAAGAGCTTTTCATGGAGCTCCACCGCTCCTTTGTCAAAGTTCTTGAAACGCTTATTGGTATCTTGAAGGATACCGAAAGGACACCAAAGACCAAGAATATGTATGGCTTTGTAGACAACATCTCAGCCGAGAGCGGCTCCACGGAAAAGGTAGTCTATTGGGCCCAGGGGAATTCCATGACTCTCACCGATAGGGAAATCTCTCAGGCGATTTTAGACCAGAACGATGGAAGGAGGGAGCTCTCTCTTAAGGCACAGTGCATAATTCCGTCAATATATAACTTTTCCCAGGTGAATTGCTACCTTGGAATCTTTCTCCAAATATCCAACCGCATCGTCGGGGTCATCGGATTTCCTCTTTTCATGCACTATCTTGGCCAGCTGCTAGCCTGTTTCGACCTTCTACACCCGGGCGAAGATGTTTTCCTGCCCTTCACTAATCTGTATGAGAACCCAGCCGTTGTGTTTGTTGCACTTTTCCTCTCCTATGAGGTCGGGCTTTTCTCAATTACAGAGCCCTCTGTTCTGATATCAGAGCAGCAATATCATAACCTTCATTCGCAGTACAACTCCTGTCCGAGCGACGCCTTGTCTTACCAATCCTACTGTCAGCGGGAAGCTCTAATGGCTCGGAGCCTTATAGTAGATCACGCACACATCTCTATGAGGCATTCGTCTGATTACGACCTGGCCCTCTTTGCAGAGAGCGTTGCAGAGGCACTGAATGAATTAACTACAAAACTGGGCTACGACGAGGAACAGACGCCTTGGAATGCGGGTCTTATTATTGAGCTATTCACCGAAATTAATGACACTCTGGGTCTAGCTTACCAGGGTTGGAAGACTACCAACTATTCACAGGACGAGATTCTTTCGAATATCTGTGCGACCATGCCAAGATTTGAGCATAGGAAGTTTGTTATTCTTGCAAAGAACGCTCTTACGGCCGCCAGGTCTATTGTCACCCCAGGAGAACTTTATCTCTTTGTTCATGCCTTCAAGGCATCCCACGTGCTTTCTGCCGTGGGAACCTTCTTCGGGAATACTGCCTCAGAGCACAACAAGGTTATTTCTTCGATCAGCTCTTTAGAAGGATACTCCCTTCACGCCCGCAGGTTTTGCATGACTCACCTCCGGAGCTTCGTGGATAGCCGCCACAGTTTTACAGTAGCCGCACCCCCGTCTTCCTATGGCCTCTACAGCATGATAGCAGGCAGGGACAGTCTCCGCATCACGCCTCTGGATTATTCCAGGCGCTACCTATACAAGGTCTTTCCGTTTTCCTACACGGCCGTTAAAGCTCTGAAAAAGTACATCACAGATAAGCACGCTTGTCCATACTGCAAATACACACCAGAGAGGTCTAAGAATGACGAGATCAATCTCATTGTGTGCATGATGTGTGGACAGTGCTTCTGTAACTTCTGCGGCCATACTCATACCAATATCAACATCCAGGAGACTCCCGATTATCTAGATATCGATAGGTTCCTTGCTCTGCACGATAGTTTGGATGTTTGGACTCCTGTTATAGACATATCGGCAAAGGCCCTCCATAAGTATAGCATTTTCATCTCCATTCTCCACCATAGCGCTGCGTGCATTCTTCCTGCCGTGTTCTATTTGCCCGCGCAGAACAAGATCCTCTGCCTCAATGGGACTGGAGTCATATGGACCCAGCCCGCTCCTATGCTGAGTAAGTACGGGGATCCTGACGTCAACATGCGGGACGGGATTCCCGTGAGGTTGGCTGAAGAGCAGGTTGGCCGGCTTTTTGCAACGGTGCTTATAAATGGGCTCTTGGATCTCCCTGTGGAGCATAACGGATTCTTCTCCATACCGTACTACCTCGGGTAGCGAGTAGAAAACCGTTTACTTTCAATAACAACTGGTCTCGACGTACTCCCGTGCCTTCAAGTTGGCTGCGGCTTGCCGTGTTGCATGGTATTCAGCCATCATAGCTGCTGTGCTCTGTGTTTGCTTACGTGCATCGATAGCAATCGGTCCCGTAATGTCGAACCTTGTTGGGGGCGCAGTATGTAAGATACTTGCCTTGTCGCTGGAGAACTTCGCCGTGTTCACATTCAAACTGGGCTTAAAGATTTCTTCTACGCTTGGGCCAGTATTATGGCGTGGCCTTGGTCCTCGCATATCTTCAGGGTATCCAGAAGATCCAAACGGATCAGAACGCTGGAATGGGGCTATCTTCTTATGCGGTATCATCGCGTCTGTGGCCGATGGCGCTGCCGAAGCGTAATGGCGCTTACTAGAACACATTACTGCCTCTTCTCCAGACTTCTGCTCGAAGGTTTTGATGCCTGTCTGATTATGCATCATGTACTCACTAGTTGTTCCTGCGCGCCCGGAACATTCCTCAGCTGTGGGGCGATGACGGCGCGGCATTGCATAGTTACACTCAGCCTGTATGTTGCCTATAGTTTCGCCTTGGGCAGAACACTTCTTTCCGGCCCTGTACTCTGGCTCGCCAGTGAAGAGTCTGGATATGGTTTTTCCAGATACTTGCAGCTTCCCGCCAATTGGCGGGTCTGACGGCTTATTAAACGTGCTGATGCTATCTTGATGGATTATCCGCCGCCCAGTTAATCTGGTATCACCGGATCTGGAGAGTGGCGGGGAGTGATGAGACGTAACAGGTACGATATCTCGAAAGCTGTGACCTGCCCTGGGGAGCCTGTCAAGACCACAGATAGGCCCCTGTGAACCTGGTTGCGCGCCCCCCTGGGCCTGCACAGGTGGGGGCCGGATAAGGTGAATCACCTTTGTCCCTTCCATTAGAGCTAAATTCCGATTTCTTCACTTTCTTTATAATGCAATTTTAAGCTGCATGCAAAAAGCAGTTCATTTAAATGGCCTTCGATGCCAAGAAGCTCTATGTCGGCAACCTCCCGTATGACTGCACGTTCAAGGAGCTGAAGGCGCCGTTTGCACGGATAGTTCCTGTCAGCAATGCGGAGGTTGTCCAGGGACGAGATGGAAAGTCGAAGGGGTTCGGCGTGTTGCAGTTCGCTACTGTGGACGACCTGCAGGATGTGCTTGCCCATCATGAGCACAGCCCGATAGAGATTGGTGGCAGAGTCCTCATTATAAGGCCGTATTCCGATAGGCCGCCGGAAAGAGACAATGCACAGAAGCTTCGCGAGGCCTTGAACACACATCCAGTTGATTATAAATCCATTCCAAACTCTTTTCTAATCTACAATATTCCACCCGAGAAACGAGATCCCAAAGAGCTGTTTCAAATTGTCCACAGTGCGTATCGCCACGTTGTCAACCTTACAATGCACACTACCTCAGTCAAGGATTGGCGCAACGAGGGTGTGAAGGATCCAATCACATATGCTGTTGTGTACATGAGTAGAGAGGCGGAGCAGGAGGCTGAAAAGCAATTCTCACAAGAGACCAAGACGGAGTCGAAGCCTCAAAAGGGCAAGACAATTCTTTCTCCAGAGCAAGCGGCAGCGAACATCTTCAAAAAGCTCAAAGACAAATGGAAGATAACTGCCGCTAGCAACGTGATAGTTCGCCCTCACGACACCGGAGCATATCCGCGTATGACCACGGTTATCCTCAGAAACCTGCCGTTTACAGTTTACGCTAATACTATCTTTGAAGCGGTCAGAGATAAATATCCTGTGATAGAGCTCCGCCTTCCAAGCCGAACCATTAGCGGAAGGACACAAGGGTCGGGATTTGCATTTCTTGTTCTGGCTACCCACTCTGATGCTGTCGCCCTTGTATCCAGTGTTAAGCTGCGGATTCTACATCATACAAGTATCTTAGATTGGGGGCTAGATAAAAACACGTTTGAAAGGCAGCAGCAAGTCATTGCACGCGCAGCAGGAGACACTATCGATGACACAGAAAACCGGAGCCGAAGCGTTTCAGAGTCAGGATCAGAATCAGATGGTATGGATTATAGCTACAGCAGAGCCAGTTCTAGCGACTCTAACACGGAAGGCAGCTCTTTTAGTTCTGCAGGCGCATCCGACAATGAGCCTAGCTTTGAGCTCTATGAAGATGGTAAGACAATTATCAAGCCGTTTGTTCGTGAGGTGCCTGCAAAGGATCAAGATGAGCCTTCTTATGACCCTAACAAGGAGCAAGCATATGACGAGGACCCTAACGTAAGCAGCAATACGGACAACTTAAGCGAACTGTTGGGCGATGAGACGAAACAACAAGATGCTCAGACTGAAGTCCCAGGAACCAAATCTGACGGGACTAAAGACAAGCAGGAGGAGATCGAGAGGACGATCTTCGTTACTAATCTGCCTTCTCGCGTTACTGCTGCCCGTATGGCAGAGGCAGAAAAGGTCCTGATGGCGAAGAATGCTAAATGCCGTCCTCAAGACATACTTGTCTCTGGTCTTCGGTATGAATTGCGGCGCCTCTTCTCAGCATTCGGAATGGTGCGTGATGTATCCATAGTTGTTAATAAGATGCTGGACAGACACACGGGCTCTGCCTTCATAATCTTCAAAAAGCGGGGGGCAGCTCTCTGTGCCATGGAATACTACAACAGTCTCAAAAATCAGGCTTTTTTCAGTCAGAACGGTAAGGCGGGTCACAGCACTTCACACACCCTTGCTGTTGGAGACGGCCTTGATGACCCTTACATGAAAGATCTTGCCCGCTTGGCTGCCGAAGAGCGTGAAAAAGACACGCCTAATGACCAAGCTACTGTGTCAGAGCAGCCTTTCACAGATGTTCCAGGCAAGGACGATAATCAGAGAAAGAGGAAAACCAAGAAGAAAAACGAAGAGAGCACTGATGGGGAGGAGGACTTCTTTTCACTAGAGAAGAATGCATCAACCGGACTGCTAGCCGACGATGATAAGCAGAAGCTTCTAGAAATCCGAGAAGCAGCCAAGACGGGAAATCAGGATGCATACACCAGTCTCTCCCGGGAGGAGATTCACAGGTTAATCCTCTCACGCTTTAAGGTTCCGGAAGAATATATTGACTACACCAATGGCTTGCTGGTTATCAATGGCTCTCCTTTAACCCTTAAGCCCGCCATTGAGAGACAGCAGCTCAAGACAATTGAAAAGCACAGGAGCGAAAAGACAGACACAGAAGATCCGCGCAATCTTAGCCTTGCAAGAATTGGGCTGCTGATCCCAGGGATTGATGGATTTTCAAAGGCAGACGTCCCCCCTGAAGATGTCAGGAAGCGGATCAAGTACTGGAAGACACTGAAGGGTCTTATGACCAATCAATCTATTCATATCAGTAGGACGCGGATAGTCATCCGTAATATTCCTAAGGAGTTTGACGAAAGGAAGATTTCGTGGATTGTCATTCGATCATTTGGGCGGATCAACGAATCTGAGGCCAGGGCGATGTTCGACCCGAGTGACAAGAACTACGAGTACAAGGTCCTCATGCGGCTGCTCAAATCGGTCGGGTGTACAGAAATGCGTTTCCGGAGGGGGCCAAAGGCATATAATCTTGTTAAGTCTATGGATGACGCTTACAACGAAGAGGGATACATGGACGGCCAGCACAGTGGGTTCTGCTTTGTTGAGTTTACAAGCCACGAGAGTGCACTCCGGTGTCTTCTGGCCCTCAACAACAATCCACGAAGCTTCTACAGAGACCGCCGTCCAATCTGCGAATTTGCAGCGGAGAATGTACGCACGCTTTACCATCGGTCTCAGCGCGACCAGGCACGGAGCAGCCACCAAGATCACCGTACTGAGAACAGAGATCATAGAGGGTCTCCGCAACGACGAGATAGGCACGAGTATTCAAATGACTGGATTAGTGGGAAGCTTCAAAAGGGTCACAAGAAGCAAGGTGCTCATACTAAGAAATCGTCGCAGGAGCTAACACGGTTCGATGGTAAGGGCGGCCCTGTGCGAGAACGAGGATATGACAGGATCCGCCCGAAGTCTAAGGCGGCCAAGAAGCTTAAGAAGTAGCTTTACTAGTTACGGAGGCGCATATTTATTGTGGCAAGTTCTTTCTCCATTCCATTCATCTTCTCAACAAGGGCGAAGATAAGATGTTGAAAGGAATCTGTGTCCCCAAGAGCATTTGGCGCAACCACCAGTGAATTCTCCTGCTTTTCATTTGATAAACCTACATGGGACAGACTGATTTGCATACTGCTGGTCTTGCTGAGACTTGCCACAAGGGTGCTACGACGCTCCCGCGTACTTAGAAGGATCTGCTTTTCCAAGATTGCCAAGAGACGCTGCTTATCCCGGCGCTCAGCTTCCAAAGCCTGGCGCATGGAAATTATCTGCTTTAGATATCCTATCTCGATAGTGTTTAGTCTATATTTTAGAAATTCAATGGTCTGGTTGGAGGAATCAATCTCAGTGGTCTGCATGCTTGACGTTGAAAGGCTGTATAGCATTGTGCTAGCCAAAGAATCGAAGCACTGAAAGATCATGGTTCCGAAGCCCTGGATCACATAGGCATCAGAGCTCAGCTTGTCTTCATCCATCCCTCGACCACTAAGGAAGAACAGGTCATCGGATACCACATTATAATACAGTGTGCACCCCGAAAGGGCAGGGCCCTCAGGAGCTAATGCTATCTGCCTGGTAGACATGGTCTCCAGGTCTATAACCCACATGTCGTAGAGGGGGGAGCGGGTTGCTGTAAAGCCGCCATATATCACTATGTATCTATCGCTAATTGTAATAGCTGTGTGTGAGTGCCTAGGAGTCATTTCTAGGAGCTCTATATCCAAGGCAGTCCAGACCTTCTCATCGGAATTGTACTCCATGACACGACTATTACACTCTGTGCTGTCTATGTATCCGCCAATTAAGATATGCCTTTTCTGAGACCAGGGGAAACGATCTAGTTGCCCTATCGTGCTAATTGTGCAACCGGCAATGGGGTACGGTAACAAAAATGGACCCGACACTGCGAGGCTTTCTGTGGACGGGTCACCCAAATTAACAATGTAACAGTCACTAAGGGCGGTAGCTCTGCCTGCCAGGTAGTCCTCCTCCAGAAGGCCCCCAACGATAAGATACTCTGTTTCTCCTACCCTGTGGAGGGCATGGTGCCTCCGCGCAGAAATGGCAATACTACCTACCTCCTGGTCTTCTAGGGAGGTGACTGTGTCGAAGTAACGGAGTCCATCTTGAGACAAAACGGCGAGCAGAAGCTCAGAAGACTCGTCTTTAAGAAACGTCACTAAGGCGGATCTTATCCCAGTGGAGATGCCCTGAAGAAAGACCGGGTTAAGCTCACGAGCGGATGAGTTACAAACCATGGTCTTCAGCAAAAACTTTACATTTGGTCCCCGTCCCTGTATTAGCACTAACTGCATGGAAAGAGCGTCCGTCACGCTTACGACACTAAGCTGGTCCTCAGCTAGGAGATTCCCGCTAAGCCATGAAAGAGGAAGAGGATCTGTGCAGAGCGTACATTTGGCCTGTAACATTACATTTTAAAACTCTCTTATTTTATATCAACCAAGAGAGCCAGCCTTACAATTCTGAGTAGCAAATCTAACGGCGGACGTGCGTCTCAAGCTTCTTGGCATCTAGATTTTTGCCTTTGCTCATCACTTAAGATAAATTGATTTGTTAAAAAAATGTCTAGCACTGCCACCGTTGGAAACAGCCTCACAGAGCGCATTGGGGCACACTCCCATATTCGTGGGCTCGGGCTCACTGACGAACTCCAGCCGGAATCTCGTGAAGGGATGGTTGGTCAGGAGCGTGCAAGACGTGCAGCTGGGATCATCTACCAGTTGATCTGCGACGGAAAGCTCGCTGGACGCGCTATTCTGATCGCTGGGAAGCCTGCCACCGGGAAGACGGCGCTGGCCACGGCCATCTCTCAATCTCTAGGTAAGGACATCCCCTTTACATCAACATCATCGAGTGAGTTTTTCTCCCTTGACATCAACCAAACGGAGGCTCTGACTCAAGCCTTGCGTCGTTCGATCTCCGTGCGCATTCGTGAGGAGACGGAACTCATCGAGGGCGAGGTTGGCCAGATCAACATCAAGGACGACACGACAACTGGTGAGAAGATGGGTGAAATCATCCTCAAGACGTTAGACATGGAAAGTTCATTTGACATAGGGGCGAAGATGATCGAACAATTGACCAAGGAGGCGGTGACAGTGGGTGACATCATCAGCATAGACAAGATCACAGGGAGGCTTACAAAGGTGGGTCGCTCGTTCAGCTGTGCTGAAAAGTTCGATGCAATGGGTGCCCAGACGAAGCTATTGCAGCCTCCCACTGGCGAGCTCATTACCCGGCGTGAAGTGGAGCACGATGTTACGCTCCACGACATGGACGTCATTAACTCCAGAAGCCAGGGCTTCCTTGCTCTGTTCAATGGAGATACGGGCGAGATATCAATTGAGGTTCGCGAACAAGTCGACCAGAAGATAGCCGCGTGGAAGGAGGAAGGAAAGGCCACGGTCATTCCTGGTGTTCTTTTCATAGACGAATGCCACATGCTTAATATCGAATGCCACTCTTTCCTCAATCGCGCCCTCGAGTCGGAGCTTTCTCCCATCATAATCTTCGCTACAAACCGTGGAATTGCGCAGATAAGAGGCACGGAATACCAGTCGCCCTTTGCTATGCCAACAGATCTGCTCGACCGCCTTTTGATTATCCACACCGATGCATTCACAGAGGACCAGATTCGCGAGATTCTAGTGGTGCGAGGAGAGCAAGAGGGCGTCGAGTTCGAGGACCAGGCCATCGACTTCCTCTCCAAGGTCGGCTTTAGCACGTCTCTCCGCTACGCCATCCAGCTCATCACGACGTCGCACATTATCGCGCAGCGCCGCCAGTCGCACCAGGTTGCTCTGGAGGATTGCCAGCATGCATATGGGCTCTTCATGGACCTCGACCGCTCCTGCGAGTTCCTCACGAGCTACGGGGCGATGTTCTCTTTCAACGAGGTTACGACGGGCGTTGTTGTCGGCGGGGGCGCGCCAGGCCCTGCGGCACCCGCTGTGCCGCCTGCATCCCGGCCCGCCCGGAAGGCCGCGATCGCCCTCGGGGAGGACGAGGCGTGAGTAAACGGACAAGACACACAGAGCCCATGCCCTTCGCAGCGTCCTTCGCGCGCGCACGCTCGCATAGTGCAATGGAAAGCATGCTAGCCTCCGGAGCTAGTGATCTGGGTTCGAGTCCCGGTGTGGGCTCACTTCTTCCTTGGGTCCCCCTGCGCAGGAGACGCATGTAGCAGGGGAGGGGTAGGGTCTGTGCCGACCCCGGAATCCGGCTGCAAAAATAATTTTAAAATGCCGAAGACCGACAAGGTCGCCGATAGGGCCGTCGACGATGCCTGCCCTCCAGATGCCTCCAGGGAAGATCAGGACACAAAGAAGATCCGTGTCAAGCGGGTGGGGAACTATATAATTGGCAAGACGATAGGCGAAGGGTCATTCTCAAAGGTGCGTCTAGGGACTCACGTACTGACTAACGAGCGTATTGCTCTCAAGATAATCGAAAAGTCGAAGATAACAGAGGCCGCCGACATAGAGCGCATCACGCGTGAAATCCAAATTCTGAAACTTCTTAACCACCCCAACGTAATCAAGCTTTATGAGATCGTCGACACCCCCAGGCATGTGTATATCGTCCAGGAATACATGAACAACGGAGAGCTTTTCGATTATATCGTAGCAAAGGGCCGCCTGTCCGAGAAGGAGGCCTGCCGTTTCCTTTGCCAGCTTCTGAACGGACTACATTTTCTCCACTCCAGGCGCATTGTTCACCGCGATCTTAAGCCCGAAAACCTACTTCTTACTGCGAATAACGACATTAAGATTATCGATTTCGGCCTGTCGAACATATTTCATGACACCTTTATGAAGACTTGCTGCGGCTCTCCTGCTTACGCTCCCCCTGAGATGATTCAGGGCAAGCTGTATAGTGGCCCCTCCGCAGATCTCTGGAGCACTGGTATAATTCTCTATGCGATGCTCTGTGGCTGCCTGCCGTTTGAGGGCAGCACAACCCAGAGCTTGTATATCAAGATCTTGTCAGGAGAGTTTTCCACGCCAAGTTATCTTAGCCAGGGAGCCAAGGACGTGCTGAAGGCTCTTCTCACTGTCAACCCGGACGATCGCGTAACCATTGAAGAGTTAATTACTTATCCATGGATTCAGAAGAACTGGGCTCTCAATCATGACGGTCGAAGTGAGCCCATTCTGACCGAGCTGCCAGAGATATCCTCCGACTTGAATTTTGGGATCCTGCTGCAGATGCACAGGATGAATCTGGATGCCGTGGAGTGCATCCGTGGGCTATTCCTTGGAAAGCACAACGCATCGACCGCCACCTACACACTCTTGGCTGAGAAGGCAGAGGCTACCAAGAAAAGCAACCCGAAGATGTCTATGGCTGCCATCATAGGAATAAATGGCTACGAAAAGGCAGACTTTGATAACTTGGAAGTGAAGAAGAAGATCTGTGAGGAGATAGGAATAGAGATAGATTCTGAGAACAACATCTTGCATGCCGAGAACAATACCATGGTTACCATTGGAAAGCTCAAGCTCGAGGTTTCTGGCGACAAGGTAGGGAAGCACTTGCACTCTAATACTTCCGATGCCAGCACAAAGGACGCTGTTGCACAGGACCCCGCCTCGGATAGGGGTAGTCAAGAGAAAGTCACGATGAAGATCAATGAGAAGGATGTGGAGCTCAAGCGCGAAACCGCAGAGCTGGCTGCGACCGTCCCAGTCATACCTGTCGGCCAAGCCAAGATACCCGGACTAGGTCTCGGTCTCAACCTCCCTGCAGGCCCTGTTGCAGGTGGTGGTGCTGTCACGACCCGTAACCATAAGACAGAAAAGCTTGTGGATACCCCGACAGTCAAAACCTCCAGCGAGGCCCCAGAGATGACGGTGGAGTACGACGACGGTGGGCTACGCATATGCAAAGACGACATTACAAAGGAGAACGGTGTAGTTACTACTGTCCAGTATGAAGATCTCGTTGTCAGGCTCAAACAGGTCTTTAAGGAGCTTAGAATTAAAGCAGACTCAGAACGTGAAGGGTCATTCAAGTGCGAACGCATGAACGTTCAGTTTAGTATTGATATTTACAGGATTGGCAGTGCAATTTCGCCTCAACTTGGAATCCTGATGCGTAGGATAAGCGGTGACGGTGCAATCTATAAGGAGATTGGCCAGATAGTTTTCAAAGGCCTCAAGCTCAAGGGATAGTCATCAGATCCTTGATCGTTCTCCTTGTTAGTGGCGCTCTTAGTACTCTGCCATATCTTTCTGTAAATTGGAGGAGATACCACACCAAAAATTCCTTTCCGATTTTCAGGGCCTTGTTATGGCAAGCGACGTCTCGCGTCTCCCCGGAGCTGCCAAGGACTATAACATCATAACCAACGATGTTATACTTGATTCCCTGCGAACAGAGGAAGACAAGAGGGAGTGGTCTCTTGAAGACTTTTCCAGCATACGTACCCTCACGCTTTCGTACCGCATGATCTGTCTTATCTCTAACCTGAGCGACTTCCGTTCGTTGACGCGCCTTAATCTCTCAAACAATGCGATCGAGAAGATCTCCGGCCTCGATAATCTAATCAATCTGGAGTCTCTGGACCTATCTTTTAACAAGCTAACCAGCATCGAAGGCATTGGCCACCTCCACAGGCTCACTGATTTGGCGCTGAACAACAACAAGATTGGTAACATAGATGGTCTGACAGAGCTCAATGCAACGATCAGAGGTTTGACAGGGATACCAGAGAACTACCACAAGATTCAGCTGATTAATCTGAGCTCAAACAACATCAGCAATCTACACGCAACGATCCTGCTGCTTAGAGAATTCAAGGACCTCAAGGTTTTGTCTCTAGAAAACAACCCTCTTGTCAAACAGACTAACTATCGGCTTCATGTCATCGCCTATTTAAAGAGTTTGAGATATTTTGATCACAAAGTTATCCGAGAGAGTGATAAGGCGTCAGCGCATGAGGTCTTCAAGATGGACCTCATCAGCTTAGAAGAGAAAGACACCGTTGAAACGCAGGCTCGGACAAAGGCACTACAAAAGGCTCGTCAGATCCGTATCGACTGTGCTGCCGACGCCCTAGGCCTGGCAACTCTTGTCGACAGAGAGTTCTTAGAGACACCTGTTACTGAACGCATATGCGTGATACCTGCTGTAAAGCTAGAATGCCATGGAAAATTCAGGCTTGTGACGTCTGCGATTCTCAAAGATCTGGCTCGCCTTATGCGCCGCCGTCGCATCCTCAAGTTGGGGGAGCTGGCTGAGTTTGAGGAGGCGTATGGAGTGCTTTCTGAGCAGGGGCGCTCAAATCTGCAGCAGGCCATTCAAGCATACATATACCAGCGGGACGATTACTTGGACCTGTGTGAGGAACAAATAGCCAAGAATCCAAAGAACAGTGTTCACTATGCAACGGAGGCCCGAAATGGGGTACAGGCTTTGCTTCCTCCCCTGCGCGTGAAGCTTCTGAAAATAGAATCAAGCACTACAGCGGACATAACAGAAATAGTTGACCAGGTAATAGCCAACCTTACTTCGCTAGTTAACAAAACATCTGAGCAGGCCCAGTCCGCGTTTACTAAGGTTCGCGAAAATGTCCTCCAACTTCACGAAAGCTGTCTTAGCTTGCTCAACAAGGCGATGGAACTGAAGCTTGCTCGAGAAGCAGGGCTAGCAGGGGGCGACATAAGCCGCCAAGTGGACCTAGGATCTGGAAATATTGCGGATGGAGGAGACACAGCCCAGGGCGGCGGCACTGGAATAGGAGGGATGTTCTTCGCTCCAACCAGCCTTGCAGATGTACAAAATTTACTTCCGACGGACATCACCCCCGAGGTCCATGCGTTGCTAAAAGACAAGGGCTCTGTTATAGGTGCCGCTGTCGCTGCCCATGAGTCTCGCATGTCAGCAGTGGATCAGCGTGAAGATAGTCTCATTGCCTCCCAAAAGGAATTCCTCAGTAACACAACGCGGATCCTACATGCAGGAGAGGCCGCAAGAAACAGACAGCATGTGCTCGATATAAACGAGTTTGTTCAAACAGAAGAACAATGGATTGTGGAATGGTATAACAAGCAAGTGGCTGCCAAGAAATGAGGCCTGCGCAAGTAAATTCTCGCTCAAAAAAGGAACTCTTCTTCCTTGTCGCAGCTACAATGCAGAAGGTAAAGAAGCCTCAGCACATAGCGCGCAAGGAGCACGCGCGTTACATCAACGAACTGGAGCGAAACGTGGTCATGAAAGAGAAGGAAGTCGAGAAGATGCGGAAGGCTATTGCAGCACAAGAGCAGCAGCTTGCTGCCATTCCAGACTTCGCCATCACGTTTGTGGAGAAGCAGATGAAGCTGAACAAGCACCACGCAGATCTGGACGACATCAATAAGCGTCTGGACGAAGAGCTTAAGAAGCTCAAGGATGTACCCATTGAGGACCGTACAGCAGCTGTCCAAGAGACATACACTCAACGCATTGCAACTCTGGACGAGAGAATTGCAAAGGCCAGAGAGTTTAAGACAACGCTAGAGGCCCATCAAAAGGAGATTGATGAAAAGAAGCTGCTTCTAGACAGCAGGGCATCTGATATCGAAGCAGCCAAAGCCAGTCACAGCGAAAAGCTCACTAAGATATCGGCCTCCAAACATGTTCTTGCTGAGCTTAAGCAGAAGTTGGAAGCTGAGCGTTCATCTGTCGAGTCCAAATTGCACACACAGAAGCGGGAGTCCGAGAAAATCACGCGCGTACTGGAGCGCCGTAACACCTACATGGAGAGCGTGCAGAAGCACCTTAAGGAGAACTCTGTTGCCATCATGGCTGAGCAAGTCAAACGTCTTCTCGAGGACTTCAAGACTTACACACCTCCATTCATGGCTGCACGGGCCGAGTTTTTATCTGTTCGTAGAAGATATCTGGCCGCATCCAAGTCTCCTTTAACAGTGTATGACCCGCTTCCCCGAGTGGTCATAGGAGAAGGAGAGCTCTGGGAAAAGATTGACATGGAGGCCAGAAATATGGAGATTCAATCAAAGGCACAGCTATCTAATGAGGACACTAGTGGCGTGAAAGCTGATGTACCCGAAGCACACTCTATCGCAGTCAACGCACAGACAAGCTGCTGCCCTGCAGACCCCGAACATGGGCTGCCCCATGAACAAGCAGAGGAGCTTCTGGTAGAAGAGCACTTAGCTGAAGAGATAGAGAAGTCAAAAGACACTTTGGACACTCAGTAAATCGACACTACTCGAAGAAAAATGGCAGTGTTCAAGGATGATATTGCTCTTGGGAGGAATGTTACTGAGGCCCTAGGAATATTAGAGAGGGAGCTTGGCTCGCAATACTGCTATTGTAGGACTCTTGAGGGCTGTTCTAATGAGGTTCATATCATCGAAGACGTACACTCAGGGTCAGCGTACATAGTGCGGTTTACGCGACAGTCTCGCTTCCAGAATTATAGCGTTGAAAGGAAGATCTTATCGCATGTTGTGGGAAGGAGCGTAGCCACGTCACAGGCTTACCTTTTCGCAGATGGAATAGTGACGGCATGCATAGAAGGCCACTGCATAGAGTCGGACAAGATGCTCGGAGACAGCCCTTACTATGAGCTTATTGCAAGACAGATGAGGCGTCTCCATGAGATATCAGTGCAGGACGATGGTGCTAGTGCCATGCACCTTGAGAGTCACTACGGGCTAAAATCCTTGCTTGATATCTCGGTAGACTACATGGGAAAGGGAAGAGAAGCAGAGGTCCTCTACAAGCTTTACTCGGAAGATGGGGTATTGGGCCAATTGGTCAACAACCACCCTTCCCTACTCTGGACATGCATTTCACACAACGACTTGCACTCTGGAAATATAATCTATTGTCCGTCGACACAAGAGGTTAGATTTATCGATTGGGAGTATTCGACATACAGCATAAATGCGTTCGATATCGCCTGTTTCTTCCTGGAGTTTACAGGGATTGATTGTGAAATCTCTGCGTTTCCTTGTGCGTCAAAGCGACAAGATTTCTATAGACACTACTTTGGAAACTCAAATTTGCTCATAGACTCGCTTTGCCTCTTCTTTGTCCCACTTGCATGTCTGTTCTGGGCTGCATGGTCGTCCGGAGTAGATGGGATCGATGTATACACGAAGAATAGGACACGCCTAGGTCACGCCGTACTTCGTAAATTGGCGAATGAAATCTGGCCACAGTGTGGTTTAGTGCCAGGCAAGGAGGACTATGAGCTCCTTGAGTTGGTGGACTTCACTTTCCAGAGTCTGTACACCAATTAAAACGAAGTAAAAATATCAAATGACCCTTGTGCGCTTTCCAGACCTGAGTCCGGTAGCTCCAGTGCTTGTAATGATAAACCATCTAGAGTCGCACAAGAGCCTTGCGGAACTACTTAATCAGATCTGGGCTAAGGGTCATCCTCAACCACAAGCAGAGTCCAGTTCTACTCCTCAGGTCGGACCATTTCAGGTAATATCTTATAAGTCTGTTGATCAGCTCCCTACATATAGTGGCTCCGGACACGATCTTCAAGTCCTATTGTCTTCTGCCTCGGAGTCGAAGGGCAGCTCCGCTTTTGGCATCATTACCCCCAGCGCCATTACAGCAATGAAGAGCATCCCTGTTGGAGCTATTTATCTTATTGAGTATCCAGCCGATGATCCAGCTGCCGTTTTGCATGCATACTACTCTTCTATTGTGGTGGGAATTCAAGCCCTGATGAACACAATGGCACCCCTTGGGGCCGTTCCTTTGCATATTGTTTTAGCACCTGTTGTAGGATCTCGGCCACCCGTGGGGTCTGCGACACAAACACAACCTGCCATTGTTGTAAAAGACTTCTTAGCCAATCTTGTGTCTGCAACGCGTCTTCCAACTAGCTCCTTTACTAATCTGGCGACAGCACAGGTCGATGGCCAGAAGCTTCTATTGAGCATCTTGTCCATGGGTCGTGCCTTCTTCATTGATTTAGCCAATCAGGTCCATACATTGCCAGATCGCTTTGTGCAGGTTCATGCTAGTGCATCGTTAAAGCACAGAAGTCGAGTATGTCTCATGGCTATTGTACGCAGAGCATTTCTTTTGAGCATAGCCTCCTTCTGCGATCAGGATGCCCCTACAATCCAAGCAGCCTCCGACATCTGTACCCGTTACAAGCTGATGGCTACGCACACAGCCTATCTCGCTGCAATCCTCAACACTGATAGTGCAGCAGCTGCAGAAGCCACTCTTCATACTCCTGCAGGGCTGGCATCGACGATTGTCTGTTGCTATGAGGCAGCTATAATTCGCTTATGCCACCATTACGAACTTATAGGCCCAACTGTTGAGGTGATAATGCTTCTTACTGCGTACCTTCGACTGTATGGAGAGACGAAAGTACTGCCACTTAGCCAGACTCTAAGTAAAATAGTGACTGCCGCTAAGCAGGGCAAGGACGCACCTTTGTTTGCAGAGGCCGATCAGCCTAGCATTTCCCAAGACTTCCTGTACCCCAACGTTGAATTATACAGCTACAATAGGCAAAGCATTCCTCACACACCGATCTTGGTTGATGCAGTAGAGGATGTAGCAGCTCCTCTGACAACCACTCCTCTTCTATTTAACATGTATCGCTTAGCATTCGATTCTAATGTCCCTACCGCTCTAATTTTGTTGGCTACAATCCACGCGCTTCTAGAGTTACTTGCCATGAAATATTCTGAACATCAGCCGTTTACTTTTGGCTCTCAGTTAGGCCTAGGATCAATCATGCACCAAATACTTGTTAATGTGAGTCAGATTGGCCTAGTTTGTGAAGCAATCCGTCTAGTCAGCCTGGCCCTCTCTGACGTTGATTCTATCACCTTACCGTGTAACTCCGTCCAGACTACAGAGCAGAACTCCTCGCTGCATAGAGAGCTTTTCAAAGCTACATCTTTGCTTTCCGTCTTGGGAAACATTTTCCCCGCAGACCTTTCTGAAGATGATACAGCTTTGTTGGGACATGCGTTAAAGGCTACCGTCTCGGAGGCAAGCAAGCTTGGTTACATCTTTCCTCAAAGCGGAAGCTCCCAGTCTATAGTGTCCCAAAGACTTCTGACAACTTTCTACTGGCACCGTCGATCTCCAGAGGCATTCCGCTGTCTTGGGACGTACTTTTCCTATGTGACACCTGTCGCATATACAGCATGCTTTTTCCCGATATACTCTGACCTTCTGCGTTCTCTGGACATCTTAGGTAAGAGGTTGCGAACACTACCTCATGGACAGCAACCCGTCTCAGCATTTATTGGGTTCCCCGCCGTAGCATACTCCTTTGAGGATCAGCTTGTTCGCGAACCCACTAAGATATACAGTGCCCTCCAGGGATTTTTCGCCTCGAAAACAACAGACGGTATAGTCACTGATACACTATACGGCTTCTTCACGGTGCTTATTGAGCGGATCATTCGCGCTGTCTTTGATCACGCGTCTTCAAAGCAAGGCAAGCTCGATGCCTCAGAAAGGCTTATTTCTTATTACGCTTCTATGTCCACTAGCACAAAATCTTCGGTGGCATCCATAAAGCTGCTATCCTACTTAATCTATGCGCAGCTCACCACGAATGTTCCTCGCTTTTTGAGTGTTTCCTCCTCTTCTCTATTGAAGAAGGACGTTTCTGTCCTTTTAGCAGACACACGAAAAGAGCTGATAAATCCTGCTACCGTTTATAAGACGCTCAACTCTTGCGACATGGACCTCTTGCGGCGGCAGCTGACGCGCAGACTCGGCTTTCTGTTCGGTTTGAATGATACCATACCCTCCGAGCTGAAGCTATCTGGCAGTGAGTTCCTTAGCCTTCTGTTGGAGTCGTTTGATTCTTACTCAATGGCGTTAGCATGCCTTGAAGGACGAGCCATGAAGGCGTCTTATTCTCCGAACTTTTTCATCATGAAATTATTGAAACATGAGGAGATGCAGGAGGCGGGTGTACAGCTTGATAGCACCGACAGGGAGATACTGAAAAAACTACTTAATGGTATTATCACGCAAGCTGCAGCACTCTCCACGCCAATCGCATCTAACTCGTTTGCATACCCCATAGTAATATCTCAGCTGGCATGGAACCAGCCCTCTTTTTCTATAGGAGAGTCTGCCACTCTTGCTGCAGAACTGACACTCCCAGGTCCCATACTTGAAATCTCGGCTCAACTGGACATACAGCTTCATGTACTAATTAATGGATCTCTCTCTGATAAGCTGGGGCAGACATTTGTCGTGCAGACAATTCTCAAACCAAAGATCCTGCTTTTGGCGCAACAACGGGTATCCAGGATTGTCCTTCATAAACATGTGATCACTCAGCAATATACCGATGAAACGCTCGCTATACGCACACTTAAAATGAGCTATATATGGCAAAAGGCAAGCACAGAGGCTGTCGACTTTAAAAACACCAGCAGCCAGATAATCGATTATAGCGATCTGATTACTCTGCAAGCGCGCGAGTCACGATTCTCATCAGTGAAATTCTACTTGAGGAGATACAAGGAAAACACGGCAGAAGCTATTCATAAGAACACCTACTGTCTTTTAAAGTGCTCTGAAAACCTGTGTGCTCATATCCGGGACCCGCTCCAAATGGTAGAGAGCGGATATTGTCTTAGCTCCCCTGACGTGTATGCCGGAAAGCCATTTATTTTGTATCTATATCTAAAGGCGGCGGTGTCTGTCCCTCCCGTTTCCCTTATTGCTACTTACACATGCTCAAATGACACACTACCAGAGCCTGATGTTAACCCTCATTACACAAGGAATGCACCCATCACCTCTAGCGTCTATACGTACTTTGATGGGCGTCCGTCTCCTCTTACTCTGGGGTCTTCCAACACTATTAGCATTGGTGGCCTAACCTCTTATTCTAACAACTCAGATATAACATTCATTCCCTTTATTGTTTGTGCTAGTGACCTCTGTCACTTGACATTCAAATTCACCTTGCAATTAGGATCAAAGAAGGTGTCTCTTTCTCCACATCGGGGGTCGACTAAGGATCAAGTCTTTGAGACAGCGCCCCAAGAATCAAACAATATTTGCACTATAGTTCTACATCGGCCGGTAGAGTTTGTCGTTAAAACAGATCCTTTACAGACATTATCTGTCTTTAGCAATGGAAGCATGCTACGCCCGCTAGTTCTATCCCAGTGGACAAAAGTTGAACTAACTAACAGAACTCACAATGACATCGTCACTGAGGGGGTGTCATTGACCAACATGCCCACAGGTGAAATCCTGAGCCCATCGGCACTACAGCAGGTCAAAATAGCTTCAGGCGGCAAGCTGAGTCTGGTGGTGAAAAGCAATGTTAATTGCTATAACCCTGGCTCATCTATAACGGGCCTATTCAACCTCAAGACCCGTTTCATTGTACGGGAACACGGCTCATCCAAGCTGGAGGACCTACCGTTATGTTGCATTAAATACCGGTCGGCTGCTCCATACATTCCCCGCAAGCTCCAAGGAACTCCATTTGAAGCATACGTGACAAGCACTGAGACAACGGGGCCCTTGCTTTGCACGGGCGTTGTTTGTCACGAAATACCGGTGGTGGATATGCATCCGACTATCAACTGCCCTTTTCTCGTGATCATAGACAAAACGGAGGCGAAGTGTCATGTAGGCACTGCATTTGAATATATGTGCGAGATTTCCGTGCGCGACTCTGATAGCTATACAATGACAATCCGCTTTGCCGAACCACCGCCGGATCGTAGCTTAGCAAATGTGCCCCCGTTGGAAATAGTATCAGACAAGACACAGCTCTGCCGCGCATACACTTTAAGCCCCAACGCTAAGATTAGCGTGTCCGTTACACTCAAATCTAAAACCGATGGTCTTCATATGACCCCAGAACTTCTCGTCACATTAAACCGCACAGCTCAGCACGACAGGAAATGGGAGTATGTCCATCATGCGCGAAAGATTCTCAGTGTGTAAATTATAGGAAGCAGAGATGGAAGCCACACTACATATTTATCAAAATTACAACCTCTTCAAAAATAATGACTGACTCGAAGCCAAACACTGTGGAGTGGTTCAATGCAGTTGCCGCCGGGTCCCTCGGGGAGGTCGAGCGCATGGTAAATGAGTACGCTACATCGTGTGATCCTCAGGGTGAAACAGCCCTTATGATTGCAGCACGGGGGAACAACCTTGAACTCGTCAAACTTCTTCAGGCCTACGAAACCTCCCGCCAAAATCACGATGGAGAGACTGCACTCATGATTGGCGCCAAACTTGATCACGACGAAGTCGTAGAGTGTTTGGCTGCTGCAGAGTCCAATATCAAATTACCCAATGGAGACACGGCTCTCCACGTCGCCGTCAAACATCGCTCTATGAAGAGTATCGGGATTCTGCTCGAGTTTCTTACGACCGAGAAGAACGGCGATCATAATAATGCGCTTGATTGTGCTGCGATTGCAGGTGACGAAGAGCTAGTCGACTGCATCTTAACCTCGACAAAGAAATATAATAAGAAGTTGCTGGAGCAGGCAGAGCATAAGGCCCGTGAACACTCGCATGCAAAGATTGCCAGCTATCTGCATGCCATAGCGGCCAAGAAGGTGAGCCCGGGAAGCATCTCGTCGTACGAGGCTCCTCATATCCATATAACGAAACTCAGCGCTGGCTGCTCTTCCACCAAGCCTACTGAAGAGAAGCTTCACGTCATAACGAGCTCGACTGCCGATATCGATAGCAACAAATATGAGGACGAGCTGAGAATTCTGCGCAACGAGATCAATGAAAAGAACAAGATGCTGGCAGATAAGGAAAAGGCCCTAGAGGAGATGGCCAGAGAGCAGAGCATTCTCTCCAACCAGCTCAGCAAGGCAAAGGAGCAAAACAAGGATCAATCCGTTGTTCGTCCAGTTCGCAAGATTATGGGCGGAGATTACGGTGCATCAAACCGCGAAGATGGCGGTCGTGCTGCCCTCGCCAACATTAAGCAGAACGAACCTTTCGACAGGGATTGTGAGGGCAATACTCCGCTTATGCTTGCTGTGGAGGAGAAACAATTCGACCGAGCAAAGGAGCTTCTGGATGAACAGGGTGGGCTCAAGAACATATACGGGACCACCGCACTCATGATCGCCGCCTCTAAGGGCTACCTTGACTTCGTTCAGCTTCTCTTGGAAAAGGAAGCCGGACTTCAGGCTAATTCGGGGACGACTGCACTAATGAAAGCTGCACACAATGGACACTACGAGATCTGTAAGCTCCTGGCTCCTAAGGAGATCGGAAAGACGAGGCGCGACGGATGGACTGCAACCATGAGTGCTGCAACCAATAACCACTGCGATATCATTGACCTATTAACAGATGAGATTGGGATGCAGACCGTCGATGGAACAACGGCGCTTCATAAGGCTGTGGTGCACAATCACCTTGATGCGGTCAAAAGACTCGCCGGGAGGGAGCACAACTTCCGCTTAAAGAACGGTTCAACTGCCTTCTACATGGTCAAGAAGGAGAAGAACCCAGAGATGTACGAGTTTTTGTCGAGGTACAAGTAGAAAAAAGTAAGAAGTAAATCCATGCAGGTTCTCTTTTCAAACGACCCAGAATGCCTAGTTACTCCGTTTGTGCGCGCTATTCTTTGTGCCAGTGAGATTATAGATGATGACCTGCAGTCCTGGCCTTTGCTCGAAGCAACAAGTACGCCTGCACAGAGAGCCTGGGTTCATGCTCTGTCAGAGGCGCCCACGGGTGAGGTGGATCTTGGGCTCATAGTTAAACTACTAAAGTCTGCGGGGCTTCCAGATATTGGAGTTACGACCAATTTCAATCAGTATTTGGAGCTGATTCTTCTGTCAATGCCGAAACTTTTAGTAGACAGATTTTTCAAGTGCACTCTTTCATGTACAGCGTGTGGATACGAGCATCTAAGCTTCTTCTTGTCTCTTCCTGGAGACGCCCTAGACGTCTCTTTTGCTGATGCAGCTAAGTGCCTCGCATGCAAGCAATGTCACCAGGCCTCTTTTAGTATCAAAGAGTCTCCTATCCTCATGATCTTCTACAACGCTGCGCGAGAGAAGCTGCGTGATGTCCCTGTTAGCTATTTGGATCTTGGAGTGGACTATGAGCTTCTATCAGTAGTCCACTCACGTACACACGGGAAGAAGCCAAAACACATCTTGCAGCAGTGGGTTCTAGATAGGAATAGTAACAGTGCCAATTCACTCGTGTACCAGTTTGGGCGAATTAGCAGCGGCGTGAAGGCCGTCCCGCACAAAGTTGTCCAATCTGCTCTTATGAGCGCTGGAGAGCCCACGTCGTCACAACATGGAATCCTAACATTTATTATCTATCTTAGCATGAACAGTGTTCCCATTCCCGAAAGAGCCAAGTATCTCAGTGCCACATCCTCTCTTGGATCACACCAAAGGTGCAAGTACGACACAATAGAAGCAAGCGCACTTCCATCTGCAGGCACAATTGGATTAATCTACAACGAAACAATATCCGAACCAGTTCGTCCCCAATCGGCGATGCAATCTTCTACAAGTGCCTTTCAACTAACAAAGAGCACGAAAAGCTATTTTGACTCTCAGCCGAAGGATGAGTACTCTTCGCAATTGCTTCCCAGTCGTACTATGCAAACAAATACTCTTTTGCCCACCATGAACGTCTATGACTTTTCTCAGCAGAAGCTAAACTCAACGTTCGAGACGGTCTTACTGCGAATAGATGAGTTAGAAAGAAAGGTAAACAGCAGCACAGCACATCGATCGCTTCAGTATACAACGAACATTTCAGCAGCCAGAAATCGGATAGTGGAGATAGCAGGCCTGCGAATAGAACTATGGCTCCTAATAACACTTTCTGTGATGGGGTTCCTCATACTTCTAACCTTTATTCTAGCGTGCATAGGGATAACAACACCCAAAGCAACTCAAACTGCGCCTCAGGCTTAACGGAAGGATCTGCACAACTAATTGTTATCCCTAGCTGTCGTTCATAAATTCGTTAGAATCTTGCCCAGCATCATCAGGGTGTATTTTACCCCCATCGTTCTTCGACCTATTGAATAGTCTCTTGCATGCATCTACCCTAGCAGTCCTTCTCAAGTCTGTGACCCAGTTCAGGACCTCTCCAACAGCGTCACCTAGCACGTCCTTAATTAGAATAGTCGCCCCTGTTAAGGTTGTCGACACGGAGCACGCGGATGGTCCGTTTGTGAATAGCTCTGAGTGACACTTAACTGTGTACCGCTCTTTTAGATCCTGGATTTGGCCATCTGTAAACAGACTCGACTGGAGAATGTACTTATCCTGGTTGTAGTAGGTTGCAAACACTGCGCACTCGGCAGCCTGGAACTGTTGGATTTCGATGCCCATGAATTGGGGCATCTCTGTGCGAACTGACTTTTGTATGTTGCGAACAATGACTGCTATTGACTCATCGCTTTCCACTTTACATGGACAGCAGACGGTAATGGAGAGAAATCCACGTCTTAAATGGCACCCTTCCCCGACACGAACAACTGCAATATGACTAGAAAGAAGGCAACTGAAGTTAACGGGCATGTGACCGTTGCTTGCAGCAGAGTTCTCTGATCCCGTTGGAGCAATGTGAGTACAAAAATAGGAAGCGAATGTGCCATCAATGTCTCGCAAAATGAAGACTACTTGAATCACAGGCATGGTGAGAGAGGTGTCAGCGATATATATCACAGTTGGGGATACCTCAATAGCATCCCCCGTTATTGGTGTAATCTGGATCCCATTGGGATACACCTTAGCTGAGCATCTGGAAATTCCCAATCCTCCGTGACAGAAGAGAACTCTAACAAATGATTGGGGTATATCTGAGAATCCATATTCTAATACACATCGAGAGCGATGGCCACTGAGTGATTGATACAAGCATACTACTCCTTTCAGTAGGTCGGTAAATGTCAGATTGGCCAGCGACTCCATGGCAACACAGAGAAGCTGTGAAAAGAAGATCTGGGGAACCTTAAAATACTCACCTACAGCCAAAATTTGCACGTTATCTTCTTCAAATTGCTTGAGAATAGTTACTTCATTAGGCATCGCCAAATAGTTAACATCTGCGTCCTCTCGATCTGTGAATTCAATATACGATAAGTGAAAAGCCTTAATATACTGTTCCATCGCCTTCAGAAAGCGAATAATATTTCGCCGTTGAGTGATTGTGTATGTCTCGGACCTCATCAAGGAGGCTATTGAATTGGCAGCGTGCAAAACCTGACCATTGCACAATGAGAGAGGCTCTTCCAGAAAGATAAAGCGGTAGTACTCGCTCATGTTAGCTACACTTGACATCAGGATCAAAGAAGAGTTCAAGGGCAGTACTTCTGTCATGCATTCATAGCTCAGTGGCGCCAGCATATTCTGTTCGGCTTCGGTCCACGAAAGCTCAGCGAAGACAACAGAGAGGCCAGCGGGGAGAGCATCGGAAGCACTGGTCTCTGTACCGCTGCAGCCACAAAGAACACTGATAGGAACTCCTATCCAAGGGGCGCCCAATTCGTGGCATGCCCCAACAACGCTGCACTTGATCCCTCGCTGCTGAAGAATCGCCGCTGCTATGCATTGCTCTGCAGTCCCACCAACAAACAATACCGACATTTTCATTTACCGCAGCCTACCTACGAGTCACCCGTCTCTCTTATTTAGAAGAGCTGATGTCCCGGCGTATACCGCACTCATCTCTTTAAGTATCTCATCCTGACGAGCAGCGATGGCGCTCAGAGTAGCGTTTAGGTCAGAAATGATCTTAACAGCAGCCGCCACCTCGTCTTCCCGGCGACTAACCTCCCGGACGGTCGCACGCGCCTCCACCAGCTGGGCCTCATAGCTTACCCGGACCTTTTCGTCCATTTATATTTACTCAAAGCTTGTCCTCATACTCGGAAACGTCTGGAACAACCTCCTTCATGCCCTTGCGCTTACGGATGGAGAGCATGATGCCTTGCGCCTGGCTGCCCGTCTGCAGGGGAGACGACGGGATGAGGGCGTAGTGCGAGAAGACACACTGAGGGAACGCCTGGCCGGACGTCGCAGCACGAAGGTCTGCGTCGAAGCCAAAGGACTCTGCGACAGGTAGGTGCGCCTTGACCTCTGTAAGCGGCTGGCCCTCACGAGGCTCTTCAGAGATGACCACCCCACGGCGCTTGCTCATCGTGGAGTAGATGCCGCCCATGCAGCCCTCAGGAGCGAGGATGTCAACAAGGTAGAACGGCTCCATGAGCATCGGGCTGGCGTAGAGGCAGGCAGCATAGAGACCTCTGCGCGTCGCTGGTGTGAGCTGGCCCGCGCCACGATGGATGGCGTCCGCGTGGAACGTGGCGTCACGGAGCTTGAAGCAGGTTCCGACAAGCTCCTCGCCGGCGAGAACGCCGTTCCTGCAGACGATCTGGAACCCAGAGACGATGTGCTCCTTGGACTCCTTGACGTACTGGACACCCTTTGTGGCTTCGAGGATGAGGTTGGTCATGTGGCCGGAGCTGGCGCCCACGGGGCCAAAGGACCAGATCTGCTTCGCCTCGTCGGAATCCCAGCCGTACTTGTCCGTCAGAATACGCGCACGCACCTTCGAATCCTGCTCGCTCGTAATCTCGCCGTCCTTGATGGCCTCAATGACCTCTTCGGAGATGGGCTCGGCCTCAAAGTAGAGCCTGTTGTGCTTGTTCGCACTCTTTGCCATGACGACTTTCGTCGACTTCTCCGTGACAGTCTCGCGATACGAGACAACTGGATCCGAGACGCGGATGTCCATCCCGCCGCAGAAGTCCTCCCTGAGGTCCTTGAGGCAGATCTCAAGATGCAGCTCACCTGCACCCGCGATGATGTTCTGGTTCTCATCCTTGTCACAGATGCACATGACGCACGGGTCGGACTTGTCGAGACGCTTCATGCCTTCGAGAAGCTTAGGGAGATCCTTCGGGTTTGCGGGTTCAACAGCCACGCGGACGACGGGGGAAACAGAGAACTTCATCGGCTTGATCGAGTGGGCTTGCTCATAGGTGGAGATGGTTCCGGACTTGACGAGATACTGATCTATGCCGACCAGCCCAACCGTGTTGCCGCAAGGAACGTCGTCAATCTGCTCAATCCTGGAGCCCATCATAAGGATGGTCCTCTGGATGTTCTTGATGAAAAGCTCATCCTTCTTACTCGTACCAGGGTGGTACTCTGGCCCCATGATGTGGACCTTCTGGCCTGTCTGGACCACACCCGAGAAGACACGACCGAAAGCGAAGAAACGGGACTTGTCCACGGTTGGAACCATCTTCGATACGTAAAGCATGAGCGGGCCGTTAGGATCACAGTTCCTGATGGCTTCAGCAGCAGGGTCGTCCAGAGGGCCGGTGTAGAGCGTGTCAACACGGTACTGCTGAGCCTTCTTCGGAGATGGAAGGTGAACGATGATCATCTCAAGGAGCGCGTCCGCAGCAGGGAGGAACTTCTGCATGACGGCCTTGAGGAGGCGCTTGCCAGTCATGTCCTCCTCATCGGGTGTGAGCGTGACGTTGAGCTGCTTGAGCATCTTAGTATACTTCTTCTTCTGCTCAGTCATGACGGCATCGAATAGCTGGAGGATTGGGTCCATGACATAAATGGCGAAGCCTCGCTGGTTCTTCTCACCATTGTCGCCCTGGCTCTTGCCGGTCCACTTGCCCGTCTTCTCGTTGAGGAAGCGATTTCCCCAGAGATTCTTCATCCATGTCGAGAGCTCGCCACCGAACTTCTTCGTGTAGATTCGCGCAAAGTGTGTGACTGTGAAGCCCCAACCGTGAAGCCCGGACCCGAAGGCGACGTTTCCGCGCGACGGATCAACACACAGATCTGTACGGTTGCCGAAGATCTTCTTGTACTTCTTCTCATTGAAGAGGGTCTTGTCCTGATATGTAGCTATGAGCTGATTGACCTCGCCGATGGTCTTCTCGAACATGAGGAAGGCATCCTCGCCGGAAAGCTTGAGCTCCATGATGACACGGTCGACTTTGTTGAGCATGAGGCACGGGATGACACGCTCGGACAAGGCCTGTCTCAGAACAGTTTCCGTCTGGACGCAAACACCCTCGGCACAGTCTACAACGACCAGCGCGCCGTCCGTGACACGGAGGGCGGCCGTGACCTCAGACGAGAAGTCTACATGCCCCGGAGAGTCGATGAGGTTGATCAGATAACCGCCGGATTCTGCGGTGGCAATCGCGTCTTCCTCATCCTTCTTCTTATCCTTCTTGTCTGCCTTGACATCCTCGACATTCTCTCCCGCCTTGGCCACCTTCTCTGCGGCCTTCTTCGCGGCTTCCTCCATCACAACCTTGTTCTCATCCGTCCACTCATAGTAGAGGGAGACGCCTGTAGACTTGATTGTGATGCAGCGGTCCTTCTCATCCTGGCGTGTATCTGTGAAACGCGTGTTCCCTGCTGAGCCCATGGAGATGATTCCGGCGTGTGCGATGAGAGAGTCTGTCAGTGTCGACTTTCCGTGATCGACATGAGCAATGACCGACATGTTGCGGATGCGGTCCTGGTGATCCATGCATTCGCGGATCTGCTCCGTCGTAAAGTGGGGCATATGTCGTAGGGAGTATTTTATTCTAACACAAATTCAATTCTAAATGAAATAAGTCTCTGCATAGGGTGTGCCGGACCCTCTTCTTACGCTCAAGAATGGCCTGTAGGATCTGCTTGGGAGCCTCGGAGATGTCTTCGGGACGGATGGTGAGCAAAGTAGTACGATCTTCCTCATCCTGGGACCCATTTTGAGAATTGCGAAGAAGCTCCCAAAGTGTTTGGAAAGCAGTATAGACCTTTACTTGGAAGTCCTGTGTTTCGTAACGTTCCTTTCCAAAGCCAGTTCGCACTGCAACGGCACTTGCATCGACGTCAAGAAAGATTACTAAATCTGGTCGTAGAAGGCCTTTGTCTGCCTCCATACATCTACGCATATCATGCCCCTTAGCAGCCGTGTATGCTACACCGCTATAGGCATAACGACTGCAGATTACCGTTGTTCCAGCCAGCAATGTATTGCATAGCACTTCTTCGAGTTCTTTTCTGTTTTCAGCGTATAGCCTGTGACAGTCCCAGTCACTGAGATCGAGCTCTCGTTGCAAAAAGCGGTCCAAGACGGCACCGGATTTGGTTGTGCGGTCTGGGAACGCTTGTACCACGACAGACTCCCCGGCCTGCCTTAGTAGAGCTACTACTTGCCCAATCATTGTGTCCTTTCCAGCTCTATCAAGACCTTCTATGACGACAAAAAGACCACGGGTGACATTGTCTCCTTTCCTTCTTCCCTCTGGATATTCAGAACCTTGCAAATTGCTGGGCTGACAATTGGTGCTTCTGTGCGTGCTCATACCGTATCTAGTTCTGGTGCTTGCACGAGGGTGAGATTATTTTGGTCTGCAAATTCACGGTAGTGCGTAAATTTTACTTGTAGATATTATAGATCCCCATCTTTTGGCTAACATCTAGAACTCTCTGCAGAACTACGGCGTTCCAGCGATGGACGCCGAATTCCCCATGAAGATTTTAGGACAAAAATTACCTTCATATAAATGCATCAGTCCGCTTACTTGACCAGATCCGATTACAATGCTGAGCTAGAGGCCCCCTGCAACGACCTATCTGATCGGATAGTGCTGACAAAAGGTGAAATAGAGCAAGGTGTGACTTATGCGCAAGAAGAGCGGAAGGCATTAGGAGCCTTTTCTCGCCGGCCAGCGCCAGAGTACTACGGTATTTATCCTTCTTATAAAGAGGAGAAGCTGATTGAGCAGGCCCACAAGGTTCCGAGGGCCGGGGTGATTGTTCGGGACCCTGCACTTGATGATTCTAAGATACAGGTGGACACCACAGTTAAGAGCCACGATTTCCTTTTGCCAGATTCTACTGATCAACCGCCTGTTAAGACACTCACTGAATTAAAGGAGCAGCGCGCCAAACGCTATCAAGTTGAAGCCGACAAGACCATCGCGGAGACCTCAAAGTACTTCAAGCAGCGCCATCAGAAATACACTCAATATCAGGATAGGATTATCGCACAAGCCAATCTCAGTAGCTCTGAGGGCCGAGAGCCTATGACTCAACGGGCATTGATGCTTGCTCGTCGTCGCGAGCTTATAGAGGAGACAAAGCAAGCATGCGATCACAAATTTACTGTGCAGAAGGATCTGGACAGACCACCATGGGAGCTTGATAATGCCTCCGAGGTCCCCTTCATCAATCCACAAGACACAACCTGGAAGCCTTACCATGATCGTGGCAGACTGTATGAAGAGGTGCTTAAGAATTCCAAAACGCGACTACTCTATGAGAACTACAGGGAGGCCCTGGCTCGCGCACCTTTGTGCCAAGCTTCTAGCGAGGGTGACGTTTTGATTCCGGTGCCTTTCCAGCTTGCAGACCAGCCTCCTGGTAGCATAGAGTCTCTCGCACGGAAGGAACGGCGTGCCAAGAGTGACAGCAAGCTGCTTCCATCTATTGTACGCGAGCCCTTTCCAGAGAGTAGACGCCCAGAGGTGTACCGACCAATACACAGTGTTTTCTCTAAAATGCGGGCACAGGAGCTTAGCCAGAAGAGCTTTTTAGAGTCTGTTAAGATTACGGAGACGCCTGAAGACTACGCTCCTATGTACTCCTCCTTTACGAAGGATAACTACTATCGCGAGCCAATGCTCCCTCAGATACGCAATAACGCGAAACCTCCCGCCACCAACGTCATTAACCAGCGGCGAGGACGCCATATAGTTGTTTTGCAGGAATCCACAGGGCAGCTCAGTGCCACCCCAGAAAACATAGGAACAGCGAGACTTCTCACTGCCCCTCCAGTGCTTTTCGAGTAACAGCTCCGTGGGACTAAGGGCTAGCTTGTGCACTAAGCTGCCCCTAACCAATCTCGTCTTTATTATATTAAAAATTACATCATCGATTTTGACTTATATTCAGCAACAAATCTACACTCTTAATTTTTGTTCTTAAGGAGGCTGCTGTCCATCAGTGATCAAAGTGTCAAGATTGGTCAACACCATCTCTAGCTCCGGTAGATACGCTTTAGAAGGTTTGGTTATGTTTTGACTTGACAGTGTACTATCTGAAGTAAATAGGGACAACCCCCTATTTTCTCTGGCGCCGGTTCTCATTCTGGATGTGCCGTTGGGGGCCTATCAGACGAATACCTGGATAGCCACATAATAGGCAATCATCTAGTAAATAAGGTATGCCTCTCGAGGGAATCCTATCAAGATAGACCGTTGTATCGTGCTGTCCGGACGTTTCTACGACAAGTGAGACAAATTTAACTATAAAGATCCGCCAAAAAAATACCCCACCATGTCTAGTTTCAAGCAGATCAACCCTGCGGATAAGATTACCGATCCGCCGACTTCCCCGCGGTCCATTGTGGCCATGAACAGGTGTGGGATAACGCCACCAGACATACTTTACGTTTCTCGCGAAGAACTAAAGCATCGCATTGCATACAAGAATCTAACGGATAAGGAGTTTGTCATCTACTACGATAACTATGAGGCAATGCGGAAAGAGGCTCTGAGCCAAGCTATAGCCGAGTACCAGCTAATTTTAGAGCAAGGAATTTCGAAGGCCGAGGCTGCGCTTTACCCCCACTTGCGCTTTCCAAACGTTACTTCAGCTCCATCTACACCGCGAGGGGGGCTTTTGCAGACATCCACGCATAACCCGGACGAGCTCAAGGCCAAAATCATTGAACGTCATATTAAGGAAGTGGAGCTCAATCTCCGACAGCGCATTGCTAAGGAAGCACAACAACAGCTTCAACTTGAGGCTGCACAAGAGCATCGCCTGAAGGCCCAGGAGATTGAAAATAGAATGACTGCTAAGTATGAGGACGAGGCCATTAAGTACATTCTTCAGGAGCAGCACCGCCTTGAGATCTTTAGTAGCTTTCAGCGCCAGCAGGAGGAATGCAGGAAACGCTCATATGCAAAGACTATCCAGGAAATGCATGCACATGATGCTCTGCTCCAGCGTCGTCAGCGTTATCTCGACGACCAATCTGTCCGCTCCAAGACGCGCTCGGTTCCTCGAGAGGAGTTCTTGTATCAACTGGCCCAAGAGCGCAAGGCAGAAGACCGGGCACGCGAGCTTGAGTTCAAGGAGCGACAACTTATTCGAGAACAAAGGAGCCAGCGTGCACAAGAAAAGAAGCGGCAGGAAGTGGAGAGACTTCAGCAGTCTTTGCGCGAAAATCAGCTGCGGCACACAAAAGTGTTCAACGAGTATTGGGAAGACGTTGCTCGTTCCAAATCAGTGGATCATGCGCTAAGGGAGAACCGTCGTCTGGCAGGTGCTAAGCGCGCATCTACAGAAAAATTGAAGGAGAACGCCGAACGGATCAGCGAAACCAGTCAGCGCATAGAAGTAACGCTGAAGAATTTCGGAAAGATATATCGTAATAAGCAAGATGCAAAGGCGCGCAAACTTGAAGAAGAGGAGCTTCGCTCTAGCAGACACATCCTTGAGACGTCTGTTAATGCGCGTCAACGAGCCTTAGAGGACGAACTGCTGAAGGATCTACGGACAAAGAGGGCGGAGATGCATCTTCGGAGGGTTCAGTACGAGAAAGAAAATGTGCTCTCGAATAAGGAGTTCAAGGCGATAAATTCCATCAGAGCTCTGAACATGACAAAGGAGAAGGAAGAGGAGCTTATGGCCCTTTCAAACAAACTCCACACTCAAAGGCATATACTAAAAGGTAGCCAAACAATTCGTGATGATGGCTATTTGGACATTCCAGATGATCTTAGAAAACTGGCGCCGCCTGAGAGTATTCTTAAGTGCCACTATATGGACGAGGCCATTGACATGCTCAAGGGAGAAGAAAGCTTTAAGCGCACCCTTCGGATGGTGCCCGTTTCAGAATCGTATGCTTCAGTCTATAAATCGATAGATACCGAGCCTCGTAAAAAGAAGCCAACTAAGAGTCAGCATGTTGCCCGCCACAACAGTATCAGTGATTTCAGCATGGACACGCCAGACAGTGGGCGCCCGTACTATCAGGTGAAAAACTCGCGCCCACTAAGGTCTAGCTCCAACGGTGATGGGCTTCTCGTTGAAAGAAGGTCTAAGAGCTTAACAAGGCCGCGGACAGCATCACGAAGTGGTCCTGCAGCACTAGATAGTTCCCGGACCGATTCCACTCCTGGTTCGTCCTACTTGGGAGGCCATCATAGTGGAGCTCAAGTAGCATCTGTACCCCTTCGACCCGGTGACGCTTCACGACCAAAGAAGGCAGCAAAACGTGGCTCGTCCAAGTCGAAAGTCTCCCACAACTCTATGCGCTCTGCATCTGACTCCACCATTGAAACGCCTCAGTGGAGCGATTCGGTATCTAGCAACATCAGCTCCACAAAGAAAAAAGCCACCCGCCTCCGAAGTGATGACGCTAATTTGTCGGTCAGCTTGCCTCTCCCTGCATTGAAGGGCCCCGGGTCAGGGTTGATTGAAGAAGAGAAGAAGCGCAATGCTACTGTGCGGCAATCAAAGAAAGAAAGACCGAGAGATAGTCAGCGAAATAAATCTAAGACAGACACCGAAGCTGCACAGGATAGCCTTCTGCGGAATCAATCCCTGGAGATAGTCCGCCAACTGAGTCAATTAACAAAACTTAACAAGCCAGCTATCAGTAACTTTCCACCACCAGATGAGCGTCGCGAGTTGCTTGGCAAGCTAACAGGTGCCACTCAGGAACCCGACTATGATACTGAGAATAGAACACAGCAGATATACGCTAGCCTCTCCATCCGTGCAAACGAGGCGGGTATGGATCCGAAACAGTTTGAGCAAGACGTGTTACCAGAGCACACCCAGACACGGCACCTGTTTGCTTCACTGGGCAAGTCTAGCACGCCTAACGATCACATGGATGGTGATCTAATTCTCACCACATTTTCCAAAGCTACGCCTGAAGCAACGCAGATCAACGATGACACACCCAAATACTTTGCGCCCGGAAGCATGACCCTCATGCAAGAAAGTGCACCGCCAAGCCGCAACATTGGGGATGGCAGCACCAAGGACTATGTGGCCACTCTTGAGTATCCTAATGTAAAGGGGAACGACGGACTTCGTCCAGCCGAGCTGTCCACATACTCGATTGTCCTGCCTCCCGTGTCCGCAGGCGCAGGGATTCCTCGGGTGGCTCAGGAGCCACAATCCCCTCAGCGCGTTGTCAATTTTGGGATAGATGTCACGGCAAGTGATCTAAAAATAAGTTCATTGGAAAAGGTTCCAGATACAAGTGAGCCGGCATTTATCGACGACAGCTTGCCGGCCGAAGAAGCTGCCACAGCCCCGAATACACGCGAATCCATAGGATACTTTGTCTCCAGCAGCGCAAATGTCCATGGTGACAACACAGATGAGGAAAATTAAAGACAAGTTAACTACCATCTAGTCCTTAGACGAGGGCGAAAGATCAATGGAAGCCTCGCTTATTTCTCGTATCGAAGATCCATCCTCAACGCTTTCCCTACGAATGGCGATCGGTTCTAATGTTGTGCGAATGTAGTTTGCGATCCTGTCGCCCAGGCCCCCGTCCGGTCTTTCTAAAGATTGGTCGGTGACCGCAAAGCTGGTGAAATGCTGATTTCCTTGTTGAATAGGAGGCGCTTGATAAATAAATGGGCTAGCCTTAGATATTACAGGAGATGACTCTCTACCTATGGTCCCAGGGAGATTCTGTTTGCCTGGAGCTGGATGTAAATATCCGGTGCTTGTCTGTCTCTTATCGGACTGTACGCTTGGGTAAGGATGGCGTCTGGATCTCGACTTGCTTTGTACAGTCTTGGGTGTGTGTATGGTGCCCCGACGAGGCCCTTCAGATCGGCTTGCTTCTTTGGAGGCGTTTCTTTTACACAGCCCAGAAATATAATGCTCAGTATCCTCGCCGTTTTCACTTGTCAGTGATTCAATCTCATCTCTAGCGTCAAACGAGCTATCTGCATCGAAGGCTCGGGCAGGGCGCAGATGGACTAAGTCTGCCAGGTCATTGTATATTCCATTAACTAGATGCGGTATCTTTGTCGCACGCTTGATATCCATCCCCCTGAACTTACTGAAGATGCCATACATCGCCACATACGCAGCTGTTTCGTCGTCATCACAACACTGGTCCATGCGCATATCGATCAACATTTTCTTTCGCCGTTTTAACTGGTTACTGTGTACATCTCCTGATCCGTACAATCTAGTGTCATCTGTTTTGGGTCGTAGTTGGTACTGAGTGTTGTCGCATTGCCCAATGAATGACTGCGTATTGGATGTAATAGAGTGTATTTGCTTGTGCTCCATGGTAGTCTTGTCTTTGTAGTTGAGTAGCGGTTGATGATAGCTGGCGTACTCTGCAAAGTAAATCTCATCTTGGTTGCAATACTTCTGTTTCATGGCCTCCAGGGAGCGTATCCGAAGCTCGTGTGCAATGTCATCTCGCAGATACTCATGAGCATCAAATTCTGGGTCGTATGTCATGGTCTGGAGTGCTGACTCAAGGCGTGCTCTATGAACGTGCCTTTTAAATACCCTCATGGCATTGTTGTACTTCCTCCGCTGCTCGAGGGCTTCCATACTAGTGCCTTGGCAGGTTATCGGTAGCATGCCCTTTGGGATTTTTGCCGGACCTTGAGGTGATGGGGATGATAGGCGACGCTTTCCAGTGGTAGATCTGGGAGCGGCAGATGTAATACGGTATGCCGGGATACCTAAAACTGAGGTGTATGGGGTGATCTTGCCTTCATATGTGGCGTTGTTAGGGGTATGGTAGGTAAATAAAGGGGCGCGCCGAAAATAGTTTATCGGACTGTTCGCCTTTTCGTATAACAACCTGCCACTCTGAACCAAGCTTTTGTCAGCATCGAGTCTGAGCGGCATTTTCTCTGCTGCCTGTCGCAGGACATGGACTATTTGACAGGTCGGTGTAGTGACGTTCACTGTTTTGTGCAGACTTACAAGACCCTTCCCCCATTGCTCTTTGTGACCGGGAGGCTTCATTTTTGCAGAGGACCAGGTCTATCCTAAAAGTCTTGGCACTCAGAAGATTTAAAGTTAGAGACAATCTACTCGTATATCCATATGTCTCTTCTCATGCCTCCACCTCTTAAGCGATTATTGATGCCTTCGAACACTACTAGGACACCTGTAACTGACCCTCAACTGCAGCCAACGGCTGATCCCGTAACTGGCCCATCTTTGTCACCGCTAATACAAGATGGTGTTCTGCTTGTCAATGACAAGTTCAGCACCAAATACGAAATGTCCGAGGTGCTGTGTAAAGATGTGCATACCATTTTAGTAGAGGAACTTACCAGTAACGAGATAGAAGGCGGAAAGAAGATTCTTTGGATACTCGGCTCAGCCGTCCATGCTAACACAGTCAAGAAGCTAATTGTCAGAAATAGCCCTCGCCTCCTGTTCTATCCGTTCTTCGCACTTTCATATGAGCTTCAACATATTGAAAGTTTACTGCTTCACGACGTACAACTTAACATACCGGAAAACCTAATACTCTCATACATTGATCACACGTTTCCAAATCTGCGCAGGCTATCTCTTAAGCTCACAACGGCGTCTTCTCGCCAGTTTCCGATTGACCTCATTAAGGGGGCAAGTCTCTTTCATAAACTTGGAATGCTGAGCACGTGTACCACCCCTGCTATTGTACTTTCAAAGCTACAATTGTTAGAGATTGATGACTGTCACTGGATCTCTTCGCAACTCTTATTTTCTATTGCTGATTGCTTCCCTCTGCTGAAAGAACTCCACTTCTCTCACTGCTCCATGCCACAATCGGAGAGTCTTCTTGGAAGCCAAGATGCCCGCGACACGGGGATTTGCAGTCTATCTATTATGAAGCTTGATGTGCTGGAGATCTCGCTCTCTCTCTACAACATTGAAGATTTGGATGCGCTAGCGTTAATACCTCGACTCACACTTAAGATTAATGGAAATGCTCGTATCAGCGGTGTAGGTCCAGACACGGTGGCGCAGCTACTAGCTGCTCCCGTTACAGACCATCCCGATTCAGACGCTAGTTGTTATGTGGAAAGAGCAAAGGAATCCCTGAGAAAGCTCGACAGTATGCATACTCTGATGTTAGTCGATATCTGAGTTAACGTCTGTCCCTAAAGGGTAGGGTTTAGCTGCAATATTTGAAAGCTCCCTTGTCATGTGCCCGCATAGTGAGTTTAAATGGGCTTCAATCTGTTGTTTGGCCTATCGAAAGCCTTACACTCTTCTGGTCTGGTACGCTGCATCTCATCAATCTGACATATATTAAAGTAGTGCCTTTATGGATCTCATTCAAAGTTAATCCTGGATCTGTCACAGCTCGATAACCCGATCAATTGAACCTTTTTAGCCAGTGCACTTAAGCGCTTTTAAGTGCTAGTTTGCATCACTCAAAAAGCAGCATGGGCAATACCTTGTGCAGACCATTAGTGTATTAACAGAGTCGTCGTGATCTACAACGAAATTTCGGCGTGCCGCCGAGAGACGTTCGCATTACCTGCCTTTTTAATAAAGCGTAGAAAGCTGTAGATGTCCCTAATTCCGGGAGGAAAGAAGACAGCTGTAAATCAGAACAACGTATGCCGCATACATACAGTCTTCGAGGATGGCTCTGAATGCATTGAAGAATTTGCGGCAGATACCCAACTTCTTCTTCTCCGAAAGTGGCGGCGCAGAACGAACTTGGGCCGCGAGATGTCATGGGAGATAGAGGTTGGAGAGGTTGCTGAAGCTAGTTCAACAGAGGTGGTTGCTGGGATGTACGCTTCCAAGTCTACTCCAACGGTTTCTAGACTAGACAGTGAGACGGCATTTGTCTTTAAGATAACGAATCTACCTGGCCCAGAGAGTAACTATTTTCTCACAGTAGAAAATGATGAGCTCCTGCTAAAAACACAGAACAAGAAGTACTTCAAGCGTCTGGTTATTCAAGACTTACGCCGTGCCAAGTTGCCTCACCTGGCCAATCTCGCCAAGCTGAAGCTCCAGAACAACACCCTCATCATAGCATACACAAAACCTCCAGACATCCGCAGCGCAGAGAAAGCCGCTGCCGAAGCTCGCCGCACGAGCCTCAAGAAGGACGGCGACGTCCAGTGCCCTTCCCAATGACGTGCAAAGAAGACACACCTGGGGCTGTTTACTGCTTGTAAATGCTTAGCATGCCTAGTAACCATACTTGGCGAGCTCCGCATTGATCCTCTGGAGCTCGGCGTCCTTCTCGGCTGCCTCAGCGATCTTCTTGTCAATTTGGATCTTGTCCTGGTACCACTTGTCGCACTCTTCCAGCCTCCTCTTCTCGTACCTCTCTACGTCTGCTGCGTGCTGCCAGCCGATCTCATGGGCCACTCGGCCGACCTCACACCTTCTGCGCTCAGGCCTCAAGCAAAGGTACGCCATCGCTGACGGGCAGACCACGCGCTTGTACCTCGCACAGCAGGGAGGGATCCCGTCGTAGACACGGAGGCGGCTCATGGCGTCGCTGCCACGAACCGTCTTGTACGGAATCATGCCCCTAATCGTTCTGCGCACAATCTCGGCGGGCGCGCGAAAGTGGAAGGGGCCACGGAGATGGTTGAAGTTTGTGCGCTTGTGCATCTTCTTGAGGTAGTGTGCCTTGACATCTCGGAACGCACCGCTAATGATCGCCTTCTCGCAGCGGACGAGGGCAACCTCGTGCCCGTGCAAAAGCTCCTTAGCAACAATGGCGGAAAGGCGCCCCAGGATGTGCCCCTTGCAGTCGATAACGATTCGCGACATGGCTCGTCCGTGAGCAAACAGATTTGCGCTAAATCCAATTTAAAGTTCTTAGTATTTTATTAGAATATTCTATCTCAAACCTGAGGTAACATTTACAGAAGATAATGAACCTGCTCCAGCCCCCCACAGAGGGGATCTTTGCACACCTTGGGCTTCTCTTCACGCCAAGCTTTGAGTCAGTTGTCCTAGATCGGCGGCAGGAGGCTCCACGTCGGGGTAAAGACCCAGATGCGCCAGAGAACGAAGAAGCTGCAAAGGTTGAAAAGTTGCAGAAGTTGCTGACCAAGCAGGTCATAGACATAGCCGAAATGCAAAGTCATAGTAGACTGGAGGAAAAGGATGCTCTCAGCCGTGCAAAGCGCCGCCAGGAAGTCAATATCAAGAGGGCAGAACTCATAAAGGAGAAATTCAAGCATGTGCACTCATTCCAGGTGCCAAAGACTCAGGATCGAGTGGCGGGCGCTCTCAATGCCGACCCGTCCAATAATAGTGCTGCCTCGCCAGGCCGGATTGAGATGGACTTCAAGGACGCTCAGTCTCTCGAGGAGCTTGAGGCGAGGATCCGCGATAAGCTAAAGGCTATGCTTATGCGTTGGTTCTCTACCAAGCTTGCACAGCCAGAGACCTCAAATGCAGAGCTTCTAGCAGAGATATTTGCTCCCACCATGGCCGCACATGTTCATGAGCAAAATAAAAAATACATTATGATCAACGATACCACGGAGGTATCCGAGTTTAGGTTCGGCAGTGCTGAGTATATTGAAGAGCTGCGCAGGCAGCTGACACGCGTATTTGATGGTAAAAGGGCGCTAGGGCCTGAGTACCGTGCTAAGAAGATCATCCAGTTTTCTAAGGCCACTCTGCAGCAGCTTAAGCTTGCTCCTGCTGGCCATGAATGGGAGTAACCGCTGAATAATTTACATCTGAATTGGATAGAGTGCCTGTGTATGCAAAAAGCCGCATAGCTGATGTGTGCACTCGTCTGTAGTGTACCTTAAGGTCAGCTTTTCATTTGTTAACAAAAGGTCAACTGTTGCTGTGCTCCGTATCTGCTGATATGAAAAGGTTATTTCTATTGGACACACCAGAGTTATATTTTCTTTGTTTTCTTCTTCATCGATCTCTGCATTGTCTATTATCTGTGAGAGTTGAGCCGAGGATCGCCACATTGTCCTGTCAATGAGATCGGGGAATTGTATCAATGAGAGGTCTAGTGACTTCCCAAACTTTGTAGTGATCTTAGTCTTAACTCCACTCACTGTTATGCTTTTAACAGAAAGGTCTGCACTGTCTCCATAAACAGAAAAGATAGCAGCTGCTCCCATACTCAGTGATGCATTCTTGGCTGTCTTTCCGCGAGAATGCGCCCCGTTATGTTTCCCGAAGTCATTAAGTGACAGAGCTTGTCTTCCCAGAGAGTCAAAACCAGCTGTGCATAGCTGATCTCCGTCCACCACCTTCACCATGAGGAGGAGGAACTTTGCAGCTATGCAACGAGATATTACCATGGAGTAGAAGTCTAATGCAGTGATCTCGCCATCTCTCCTGGGAACATGCGAGAATACCATGGATGCGTGACTATGTGAGCACCGTACAAGTGCTACGAAGAAACTTTTGTGCTTCTCTTGGTATTTGCTGAGTAATAAGTCGTTAATGTTTCTTGGTGGATTGGTGAACCTCTTTGACAATGAGGGTGATATTCGCAAATCTGAAGCCTCCTTGGATTTGTGTGGACTGCCCCAGCTACTGGATCTTTTCCTTATGGATTCTGGCCTGAATCGTCGGCCATCGGACCCAGAACGTGACGATTCCGACTCTATTGAGGTGGCTATGTACTCTCTGTGGGACCCTGGTCTAGTTCTTCTCTGCCCTGTCTTGCTACCTCCATCCTGTAGCTTGTCTGAAGCCTCTGGAGACATGGGGTCGTTAAGGTATGGAAGCTGCTTTGTTGCACTGCTCTTGGCTCTCTTGTCTAAGCGCCCTAGTGTGACCATTGGTGTGTCTATATTTCGTGAGGGAAATGAGCAATCGTTCATGGACCTGGCGCCAGTACTGGCAGTTGATGACAGTGACTTGTATAGAGTATATTCGTCTTCCGCTTCTGTTAAGTGCTCGTGCTTTTGGAGTTGGTGGGGTGCTGTGTTCTGTGTATGAGCCATCAAGTGGTCTCCACCTGCTCGTGAATTAGTGTACGGCTCTACCCTAAATTGCTCTAAGACCGTATCGGGAGTATGATTGACACGGGTGCCACTTATACTAATCTCATCATGTCCAGTTGACTTTCGCGTTCTAGTAAAAACTGTTTGCTCTACAGCCGCTGTGCCGGCTCCAGTCACCCTTGCGGCATCAATTACACTCTCAACCTGTAGATGAGGTTCTAATATCGCATTATGGAGAGATGCATTTGTACCCCTAAGAACTTCTATTTTAGTAAGATTGGGAACGTCATCCTCTTTAAGCAGTGGGTCCATTGGGCCACCAACCCGCGCTTCAGAGGCGTTAGCATCCGAAGAATCCGTTCTTCGCACTGTCTTAAAGTTGTACCCCGTGCGCGCCTGCAGAGACTGTGCCCTTGCATCCAGAGTCTTAGGGCTAAGATTAGAAGTTTTTCCGTGGCTACCTTCCATAGGAGTAACGACAACTTTTTCTATCATCTCTGTGCTGTCACTGGACTCTGATTGAATTCTCTGCTTTTCTTCTCGATGCATGTGTCGGTAGTAACCATAATCTGGAGTACCACTTCGCTTGCGCTCCCGCACGTGGCGAATATTATCCGCTGTTGTGAATTTGACTGAAGAAGGAATTGCCTTTTCTTTAGAATAGGATGCCCTGCTCCCGTGTATTTCAACAGTGTCGTTATCATCGTAGTCCTGCGCACCGTTCTGATAGCTAATGTGTTTCCCATAGTCTTCTGTTCTATCAACGGGCATAGCTCGCCCATCTCTTTCCTGCTTAGGAGCACCAGGGTTCCCGGTGTTGCTTTCCTGGTGCTCAGATAATGCCGCGTTCAGGGCCGATGCACCATCCTGGGCTGTCACTGCGCCAAACGTGATCATGCGGATATTCTGGTTTCCAATATCGCAAACAAACACGTGCTCTCCGTCGAAGGCAAGTCCATTCGGACTACTGAACAGGGCTTTTGCGAGAGGGCCGTCTCTCCAGCCCGAGCTTTTTCTAGTGCTTGACACTTGCCAAAGAAAACATCTATCTGGACAGACACGGTGCAGCCCCACCTTGTCAGATACTAAGAGCGTTCTGTCTGGCAGTTCGCATATTCCTATCGGTGTATTGAGCATACTCTCATAGCCCAGGGAGGACCCCGCTTGACCCTCTAACCCAGCGATGTTTTGAACTAGCTGATTGATCGTGTCTATCTTTTTGACAGTGTGGTTACCGGTGTCTGTTATATAAACAACCCCCGGTTTTGTACTGGAGATGCAGATCCCCATCGGCCTTCTGAGGGTTGCCTTGTCAATAGGAATGGCCTCCCTCACAAAAGGATCCAGCGGGTTTGATTGTCTCTTAGTCATGTATTCAGACTTCGACTTTCCAGGAGTACCCACAAGCGTAGTCACAAAGTGGTTTTGAATATCGAGGCAACGAATGCAATTATTTCCGGTATCGCAAATCAGAATTATTCGGCCGCTGCATGCACTGGCGAGTCCAGTAGGTCTGTTGAAGAGCGCCTTGGTGATCAGCCCGTCTGCATGGCCCGCGACAGAGCCTGAGAGAGTTATCAAACTGTGCGTAACATCTGCACTTCGTTTGTCCTTGCGCTGCTCCGTATAAAATGTTTTGTCTAGAAGTGAATCATAGGGGTCTAGCATCTTATTGGAAGGAAGAGGGCGCAGCAGCTTTATCTTATGATGAATATCATCTGTGAACACCACACCCAAAGGAACCTGGACGACCCCCGCGATGGAAACAGACGCTACAGAGTTCTTAGTTGTTAGGGTCTTAAGTGTGCGTAAAACCGAGCGACTAGCCACTCGTAGCCCTGTAGAATCGGCGATAAGCAGATGAAATGTGTCTGTAGCTGAATAAGGCGGATTATCGGGTGCGTAGATGGATACGGCGCGCGGATTACAAAGAGACCCTATTCCTGGAACGCCGTCAATGGCAATGTCCCGACCGTTGCCGCAAACGGTTGTTACAGAGGCCTCTGCAAAAACCCGCTCAGACTCTCGGTAGTCAAATTCCTTGGCAAGTGGGTTAATTGGATGGCGCTGCAAACAAGATGATCTCCTCTCAGATGCTCCTCGAGACTGTGCTTTTTGAAACTGCGGCAAGACGTGCTGCATGTTATATTTTAAGCATATACCTCTAAGATATATGTGACACTACAGGCTCTTGCAAAGCAGTTAGCATTATGCAGGAAGGGGCACTATTGTGAGAGGAGGGGGAGACGAAGGCGCAGATGCAGTATCGTGTTAAAGAATGAAGCTGGAAGTAATTTACACGAAAAAGGCCCAATAAAAATGCTACTGCTGATATGTCTTATCTCGGTTGCCTTTGCGGCTGCTTGTACGCTGACCGTGAATAAGAATACGTGCATACCTGATAAGTGTGAGAAGTTTGGCGACACAGAAGTCTGCATGCAGCTCAAGACAACCAGTTCCGTTCCCATTCCAGGCACCCCTTGTCCCGACTTTGAAGTGGAGGTCCTTACCCCTGAACTCAAGTTTACTAAGCGTAAGCTTGCAGATTACAAGGGCAAATATCTGATCATCTTCTTCTATCCAGCCGACTTCACCTTTGTCTGTCCCTCTGAGATCATTCATTTTTCCTCTATGGCTGAGCAACTGAAGAAGAAGTATAACACTGAGATTATCATTGGCTCGACAGACACTGTTTATAGCCACCACGCTTGGTGCCTTCAGAATAAGACAGACGGGGGGATCGGGCCCTGCAAATGTGATCTATTCGCCGACACGAATCATAAGATGGCACGTGATTTTGGCATACTCGTTGAGGAAATGGGTCTTGCTCTGCGTGCCATGTTTATCGTCTCCGATAAAGGAATTGTACGCCATGTTACAATTAACGATTTTCCTGTGGGTCGCTCTGTCGAAGAAGCTATGCGTATGATTCAGGCCTTCCAGTACGCTGATAAAACCGGCGGTGTCATCCCGTGCGGCTGGACTCCTGAGAAGAACGACTTCATTATTCCTGATCCCGAAAAGAAGAAGGAATACTTTTCTAAGACCTTCACAAAGTGAATAGCTCCCATTAACTTGCTTGGTACGTCCATTGGTAACTTAGTAGGCCGACTGTTTCTTCGTATTGAGATTATGACTATGTAATGTAGTTAGGATTTGAATACTTCTGAAATGTGGGCATCCCCAAAGCTTACTCCGGGCGCGCCGGGAGGCCTGCGACGGGTGCGAGCCTGCTGACCTGCTGACCCGGGTGGAAAGAAAAGGATGGCGTTCAGCTACTTCACGGTCCCGTCTGGCCAGCCCTTCAGGAGGCCGCTGCCCGGCCACGTTGTCGCGCGGCTAGCGCAGCCCCTCCGGAGGACGCGCTCTGTCGAGGAAGCGGCGGACCGCCGAAGCCAGGCCCTCTGGCGGCGTTCGGAAAAGGCCGGCGAGGTGTACAGAGCGGCCCGCAAGATCGCCATGAGCAGGCACTTGTTCGACTTTCACGACCGCGCAGTCGCCAAGCACCGCGCAGAAAGGGCGCAGCAGGAGGCAGAGCGCCGAAGGACAGCGCTCCTCCAGTGCAAATCCGACGCGATAGCAGCTGGATACAACGAGTGGTACGACGCGCGGGTGTGCAAGGAGGAAGAGGAACACCTATCTAAGTCAAAGCGCGACAGGTATGGCGGTAAACGGGCAGGCCTCTGGGAAGAGCATCTGATACTCAGCAACGCCTCTATTCGCGTTTCCTCAGTGGGCCCAGCAAGGGCCCTTTCTGCTCCATATCAGCCAGCGTCTAATTGATGAAAAGTCTTCCTGCAAACCAAGTACTCTATTAAGTGGTTCGTTAGTGAATAGCACCTGTACCAAATAGAGAGTTGCATAACGAGCTCAGAGGTTTTCTTCCTCTGTTGAGCCCGTTGCATAGATGAAGTTGGTACGCCTCAATCAGATATCTGAAGTGCCTCTTTATGAATGTACTCACAGATGCAACTAGAAGAGGTGCATCACACCTGACTCCATGTGTACAGACTTGACGCTATGCAAGATTACTTGACGGAAGTCTTCAGGGACGCTAGTCATCGGTCTACACGCCAAGGATTAGGAGTCTACATAAGATGCTCTCGCTATACTCTTTTGTATGTTGAAAGGAGCTGATTTCCTAAAACACACTGATAAATATCAATAGCTTAAGCTTGAGGCCACAACTCCTCTTTGAACAACAGTCTATCGATGCTCAAGTATGGATTTCTAGAGTATTGATCACGATAACCAGGTCTTTGAGATTGTCTTAAATGTCCAACCTTTCTAAAGCGCAGTTTAAATGACTACTAGTTTCCATGGTTTGTAGGCCGTAGTATAGACTTCGTTGAACTATTATACTTTTCCCATATCCCATAAACGTGCAGAAGGCTACTGTATTCTTGGAAGGGGTGATCTTTCATATATTTCTAAGCACTGAACCGTGGTTAGGATTGGTGTACAAGGTTATCAGACACACACGATGTCCATATTAAGACGCAGGACTTAAATGCTACAGGCGGCCTCAGAAAGAGCTCTCTGAGGGAACAAGAAGTGAGGCGACTAATGCACCGAAGATGCTGCGGGCCTCTGTCCACGGAGTGCAAACCCATTACTATGCAATTCGCTACCACAGGCTTCTGTCTGCGGCGACACAACTACTAGGTGACATCACACTCTGGAAGCTAGTGTGCGGGCTCACGTTGTAAGGTCGGCGGACCGGAGGATGCAGGAGCCACGGGGTAGTGACTGACCATCATGGCTTCTATAGGCTCTGCGGCTATTAGTACAGGGGCAGGGATGCTGCATCCTGGTGATTGGCCCAGAGCCGCACCATCCAATGGGCCGACGACCCTCATGTTGTTTCAATCTGAAGCGGCCTCCACTGCTGCCCCCGTACGAGTTGGAGAAGGGGTCGGCCCCATCGAATGCGGCAGAGAACAACAAGTCCCCAGTCTTCGGGCGAGGAAGATGGGTGATCTCGTCCAGGTGAAGCCGACTCCTCACCGTCCTCTGGGTCCTGCCTCTTCTACCGCCCTGGCACAACATAGCTCGGTAGGGGGCGGCGTGTCTGCGCTACAGGACGCGTCGTCAAGAAAGAGTGGGCCTGGAGAGGCCCGACGGCCACCGCTGGGATAGGCCTCAGAAGCCCTTGGCTGCAGGATACGCTACTGCCAGGGTCAGTGCAGGCTATGGCTTTGAGGAAGCGCAGGACTGACGGGCGCTATCAGGAAACACCTGGCACGTTCTCGTGGAGAGGGGGACTCAGGCTTGGGGGCTTGGCAGTGTCGGGCCCGGGCTGGGTAGAGAGCTTGCTGTACCCGGAAGTGAAGACCCCAGCAAGCAGGAATAGTGGCCACAGCCAGTACAGCCGGCGGGTCGACCCGGGCCTCTTCAGCCGCGCTTGATGGAGCCCGACGTTGCGCCAGGCGACGGGACAGGGCACCGGCCGTCTCTAGGGCATGCAGGAGGCGAGGCTTGTGAGCCCATGGGCGTCTGGCCTGCAAGCTGAGGCCACATCGGTGACGAGGCCCAGAGTGACGCAGCGTGGACGCTCTGTGGTGACGGGCCTGACAATGAGTGCAGCAAAGTTATGGGAATGGGCTCCGTCTGGGTCAGGACCTCAGAGTTCTCTTCGTCGTAAGGAAGAATAGGGCAGTGCGGTATAAGGGAGGCATCCGGCAAGATATGCTGGGAAACTGGCCCGTTGCGGTAAGTCACGGGCGCTGCCAAACACGGCGTCTCTTCTCTTAGACAGAAGACAGGCAGAATGGGTGACTGCGGAGGCTGCAGTGTCCGTGGTAGATCGCGGCATCGCAATGCGGCTGGGTCCGTGCCGGTGTGTCTGCCCGGACTCTAAGTGCGCTCTGAGGATCACCTGCTGATGGGCTGGAAGGCCCGAGAAGTGATGTGCTGCCCCTGTCATTGCGGGCAGCGCCCCGTGACACGCACTCGAGCCAGGGCCTCCTGGTGGCCAGAAGCAGAGCAGAGGCAGACGGCCGGTCGTGCATCCGTCCGGGCGGCTCACTGCATGTAGAGCGAAGAAGACCACTTGCGCCGCTCGGGTTATCGCTCAGCATCAAGTGCGGATGGAAGGCTGGGCCCGGCAACCAGGGCACCGACCTGTACGCTCCTGTCAGCCATCCCAGGCCGGCCAGAAGCCAGGCTCGACAGGCAGTGCAAAAGCCAGGGAAGCCAGCGTGATCATCGGGCCCGCGTTTGAATGCTAAAAAACTTGGGCGGCGATGGCGACTGTCGTCTTCCTGGGAGGGCGCCTCTTCGCATAGGGTCAGCCGTCCTGGCCCTGCATGCTGGGTGCGCGGCTCGAGGGCGCGCTATGCTAGTTGAGGGCCTGCCAGGCGCTGCAGCCTACGAATAGCACGGACGGATGCAACGGGGTGTCCGAGCAGTGCACTGTCTTTGTCCCAGAGAGCTGTGGTTCTAACCATGCGCCCTACACCAGCTCGGCATACCCCTGCTGCTTCCGCTGCTGGTCTGTCTGCCACTTGTTTATTATAGCGGGGGCGCATACGCTTGGGGTGTCGCCTAGGCACTGTAGTGGTCTTCTCTGACGGTGCGTGTATATTCACATGATGGCCGATGGGTGGAGCGGCTGCCTGATCTCCGAGCTCTCATTGCAACAAGGCGGGGCGTCGGCTGTCTACACGCCTCTAAGCGAGCCCGCGACCTCTGTGCAGATGCCTGCTCGCCGCGCTCCATAGTGACGGCTGTACACCCAGAAGGGGCTGCAGAATCCTCCGCTGTCCTTCGATGTGGACCACGGCTTGTGTACAGGCTAGCGACGGGGCCTGCACACTAGCTTCTATGGGCCCAGCCTGCCAGGCACCTGGATCACAGTGCACGTCAAGACCGCACACTCGTTTGCATGCTCGCTGCTAATGTTGAACAGGACTGCGAGGGGTCTGTCTCTGGCCATCCTCGCCTTAGTACCTGGCCCTTGATGACACGCCTCAGTAGAGGATGGTGTCTTCTAAGTGCTCGGAAGACTATCCGTGCATGGCGGTTCCCGGAGAGTCGGTTCGCACAGAAAGCGTAGATGTGCCCGGCGGGCTAGTGGGGTAAGGCTGGGGCTACAGAGACTAGCCATTAGTCCGGATTACAGCAGGGACACCTGTAGTGCCTCCTCGGCTCCTAAGCGTGGAAAGGCCGTAGAACTTGCAGATGAGTTGGAGGCTGCTTTTTGATTTTATGCATTTGCAGCAGAGCAGAGTTTACTGAAGGTCCACTTATTCTAAATTCGAGGAGCCTCATCTCTTCCTCACACACGGTGAGATGATCGATTGTAGGGGTGTACTGTGCAAACCGGTGACAGTCAGCGTATCTATTATCCAGACGGATACTGCCTGCGTCCTCCTGTGGCAGACCACCACCAGGGCCCCCAATCTACACATCTGTTCTGGCATCTGTCGGGCAATCATCACCTCCTGTCGAAGGATTGCTATACGTTACACATCTTGAGCCATCCATCGACCAGGTGGTGCCATAAGCTCTTGTCCCCTACTTGTCCACTCAATGCATACTCTGAGCGCCGCCAGTTGCACTCACGTCTGCACTACTCATCTGGATGCCCCCCACTCTTCAAGAGCACATGCCCGCAGCCGATGCTCCGTATTACAAGAGAAGTCAGCCGGATCACTGCGCTGTGCATAGCTCTCATAGGCGTGTTGCTATGCGCGCCCAGCCTTTCCACCCGTAGGCCGCCACGCGTTCACATGTGCGCCAGCGCCGCCGAGCTTTCGTGGTTTCGAGTGGCCCTGATGCATGGAGCGCTTGCGCACAAGTCCTTCCACCACTGACCCAGGCCGACCCCTCGCAAGATCCTTAGCGGAGTTGCATCCGAGATGTGTGTCTGCGTTGCTGTCCAGGTGCATGTGCCGGCCCTGGTGCTTCTCACAAGCTTGCGAGCATCGAGCTGGCCTCTACCGAACCGTATCAGAAGTCAGCACCAGGATGTGGTCCCCTCGGTTGGGCTCTGCAGGCTCCCAGAGCTACGCACCAAAGGGCCGTTCTTCTTTGCGCCGTGTAACGTAGGGAGATGC